ATATTACATAACAAATGCAGCAAAATCTATTTTATATTCTACTTTAAATATAACTGGTACATTACTTTACGGGTATACATTATGCAATATGTGTTTTTTCCCTATCCTTGTATATTTTGAAATTGTTTCTATCTAATCAGGTCAAGTTATGTCAGGCATATTTTATCATACATCATAGACCATGATCATTTTTGTTGAATAGTGAACCCCTTTTACTTGTTTTGGTGATATTCATGTAAACGTTTTAAAAAATGCAATCTTTTTAATAGCGAAATTTTTCTAATAGCATTTACAGTTTTTTGGGGGGATGCTGTAATTTATTTAGGCAATAAAGCTGAATTCTTGTGACATTTAAAAGGATATCTTTTATATGTTCGCTGTTATTTTTAGTGTATGATTCGATTTAATCATCTTTAAGCTCTTTAATGCTATAAGTGTAAATTATGGTTATATTTCATGCGATACATATAAATGTATTTTGTTACATTTACTACCATGTATGTACAAATTAATGTGTGAATCAGCCACCGGCTGCAAGGCATGTTGAAATAAAAACTTTATTGATTTGAATTGGTTTCTAACTGTTATGAGCGAGCGAGGAAAAAAAGACACTTAAGTTTCCTTTAAAAAAATGTTCTTCTAATCCTTGCCTCTTCATATTTTATTTCTCTCATCTCATATACCTTTTCTGCTCTCCCCTTCGTTCGTTTCCTTTTCATTTCCTCTTCCTTTTTCTATTTTGACATGTGACAAACAATTGTAATGAGCATAGAAAAATAAGGAAATCCGGGTAAGTATAGGCCAGACAATCAAATGCTGGGAGTTGTTATTTTTATCACTATAGTGATAAAAATAACAACTCCCAGCATTTACAGTTCAAACAACCCATCTATTGAACGATAAAAAAATCCAGAATAAATCAGCAATTTTCTCTCAAAATACGATTCCCATACCAGAGCTCAAGATTAGCAGATTATCCATCAAAAGTACCACTTCAAATGATTCCCCATCACTGGTAATAACTATTATTCCTGGTTTCTCATAACTGATTACAATTATATTGTTATTCTACATGTGTGTGTCATGACTTTAATTTTTTTTAAATCTTTTTATCAAATCAATCTTTTTGACAAACAATGACATTTTACAGCCAAAGAGACTTAATATAGAACCTAAACAAATTATGGTGTAAACGAAGTGGTGTTAAAAGGGGATGTTTCACTGTTGTAGGTCGATATATCACACTTAAATTAGTGTCATTTGGGGCTAATGGCAACAAACTAGATGGGCCTAGAACTTTAAAAAAACAAAATTGTTATGAGTTTGTTGTGAAACACGTCAGATACTCACTGCTTCATCCAGAATGAAAATCGCACCTGTAATAATGAGAAATTATGTCAACCGTAGGACTGAATTGCTGATCTTCATTGTTAGTGAAGAATAACTGGATACTGGTAAAATGAATACAACTACATTATCAAATTGACATCATTATCATTCATAGTGCATGTAAAATTGTCAGTAAATCTTTTACAATTTCGTTTTTTAATTAAAATTTCTAATAACAGTTCCATGCAGGGATTTTTTGTTATTGTGCATGGGGACATAATTTTCAATGCAAAACATTGCTATGGAATCTTTTTTATCATAAAAGAAGGGATCTTATCATGAATTTGAATCGGTATCACTAACAGGTGTTTAAAGGGCCCATGACATCGAAATACAAGTGTAATCCGGTTGGTGTGCAGTCTTGCATACATCTCATATTTTGATATGTAAACTTCTGAATTTGTTTCATAGATTTCTAAAAAATTTTGAAATATTTGTTTTTCAAACTTGCTAAGATCCACCCAAAAAAAATCCAGGGGGGCGTTTCATGAAACATTAGGGACTTTTAGATTTGCACGTCGACAGCTTTGACTGCAACGTTTGACGTCATTTTAAGGCACTGCGCATGCGTTACGTCGTCTCAGTCCACGATGGAGAATGCGTCAACCTTGATTTTCCTAAATCTAGTACATACATACATACACATTGATATTTATATAGCGCCTTTACATGCTCAAGGTACTAGTATGCCGCGTGCGCATAAAATATACAGTTCCTCAGGTAGACAAAGGAACATCCCTTCCCTGCTATTATGTAAAAATATGTAGAACAGGTGTCACATGCATATTCACCTGTTAAACACATTTTTACATAATAGCAGTGAAGGGATATTCTTTTGTTGAAGGTAGAATGAGGAACTGTATATTTTGTCCTCTTTCTTTGTCTGCGAAGTTCATAGTGTTACTGCCTGCATGCATGTATATCGTCGAGTGCAATCTAAAAGATTGCTAATTGTAGTCAACATGGGCAGTTAAGTACGTTGACACGCATGATCAGTGAGTCGGCGTTCGTCGTGTTCTTTTCCACTCAATCTAAAAGTCCCTAATTAGTCGGTGGTTTTCATCGACTAATATCATGTTCACCGACAATTTAGTCAGCGCTGACTAAATTTGACCAATCACAGGCCTGGAAAATAGTCGGTGACAAAAGAATTGTCGGTGAACATGATATTAGTCGGTGAAAACCACCGAATAATTGTTTCATGAAACGCCCCCAAGATCTCATTCCCATTGTGACATCATCTGTCAGTCATCAAAGAGCAAACTTGAGAAAGTGGCATGTAACTTTGCCAAAGTTGACCACCTGTTACAATACCACAAACAATAGCAACATATAAGTTGCTATGTCAGACATGTCAGACTAAACTAATATTCTAGAATAGACAATGGTATGTAATTTCCCCCAGCGTAGCACACGTTCATAATAGAATTGCATGCTTCCATGTACAATACATCACCATTGCTTTTGTCTTCCTGGTGATGCTACAGCATGTCTGACATAGCAACTTGTATGTTGCCATTGTATTACTTCGGAGAGGACTTCAAGCCCTCGGTCCCCTGGTTGCTTTTACTTCCAATCATAATACATGCTTTCTTGGCAGTCAGGTAACAATAGAAAACAATAATCTCAAGGTCTGATAAAAATAAGCAATCAAACTTTCAAGAAACATTTAAAGAAATACCATTTGAACAATGCCCTCTGTAACTATTTGTAAAGAATAAGCCTCAAAGGTCTTTGAAACCCTTAAGCTGACACGCCGTGAATTCCCCCATTGGGCAATCGCAGTTTGGTAAGTCCAAGAAATTATAACAATATAGATATATTGACTGCTATGAGAGCATTCTTATTCGATACCAATGATTTACAAATGTTACTGTATAATGCTTGGATTTTCCGGGGAGGTTTTTTTCACTTTTTCGTAAATTACACCTTTTTTTTTCTTTCTGTCCTCAAATACTTTATTGCTCATAACGCCCCCAGGGAGTGCGATACTCAGATTTGGTTTGGATGGGGTACGATGCACCTGAAGCGTCTCAACCTATACCCAGTTTTAAGGGTCAAATTTAGCAGAAAATGGTACCTATTATAAGGGGCTTCCATTCAAAACGCAACCCATGCTTATAGGGTTTCGCTGTATGATTAACACTTTCACATACCTTAATCCCTTTATTTACCTATAAACAGCTTTCCCAGTTTCAGCTCTATTTGTTTTGCCTCTAATTTCGTTTATACCAGGGCATGTGAGTTAAAGTCTCACCTCCCTGTTTATACGTTGCATGCTTTCTTATACTTCCCATTGTACTCAAATTAATGATATTGATGAATTTGTGCGAAGATCGGCGTGGACTTTGGTTGAAAAAGAAATGATTTCAATTATTTATGCGGGATTTTGCATCTGGATTTTCACTCTAGCGAGATTATGGGTGAGATATCATCTTGAAGAAAATAGTAACCCATGTTTATGGCCAAGATCTGAAAAGTGGGGGCACTTGGATTTTGCAGCACCATATCCCGTGTTTAGGGATTTCTTGCAAATTGAAAAAAACTTATTAAAGCGGCACATATATCGTACAGCTGACTACCTGGTTTCGTCGTCCTCGAGTCCGAAATACCCGCTCATCATCATCCATCTGGCTCACTCTACTCAGTTTCTTTCTAAGAAACGTGCTAGCCTTGTTTTTCCCATCCGCCCTGCATGCTGCAAATTGTGGAACCAGCTACCTACTGCTCTGCCTGTTGACCACTTCAAGCAATTACTAAAGTCACATCTATTGTGCTAGAAATTAGTACTCCTTTTTTTTACCAGCCTACATGATCTCTGAAAAATAACTAACTTTGTTTATAATTGGCCCAAACATTGTGGAGCGGTGTGTGCAGCGCTCTGCATGTCACCACAAGGAAAAGGCGCTATATCCCCCCCCCCTTCCCCTTTTCTCTCCATCATTCACAGGTGTTACAAATAAATATTTAAAAATTAACATTCAACCCCATTCAACAGATAAGTCAGAGATTGATAATTCCATACTATAATTGTAGGCTACATAATATACGACTCATATGAAACCATTCAACATTATTATAGTTAAGTGTATTTTAAGATCACTTCGAATTAACGTATTGAATATACAAAAGAAAATAAACACCTTTAGCATCAAAAGGCACCCATGAATTGGAACTTATGTAAAAGACAGACAAAAACAAACAAACAAATAAGCATATACTTAGTCTTTAGATAAAAACAAACAAACAAACAATATATAAAATATATTTTGAATGATTGATTGATACCGTATTAGGCGAATAGGCCTATACCCCCCCCCCCCCCTGGATTACGCCACTGTTTAATAATAGGCCTATAGCCAGCGATTCAGCGATACAGGATTATTATTCATAATAATATAATATTCTTCCGTTCGTGTAACAACTTCCTTTTTTTTAAACAGCATATGAGCAGCCCGACCCGGCCGACTATCATATTTTTATAGTAGGCTTAGTTTATAGTGTAAAACAATTTTTTTTTTTTTCACAATCTACGAAAAATACAGAGGGGGCGGCGCCGAGCCGATCCGAAGCTCCAAATAATATAGCGCCATCTGCGCTGCTGATATCAAATCAAGATATCCAATATGGCAGCCCACTAGCATCTATCGTGGCACAAACGATTTACAGAACAAATCCACAATAATCGTGACAATTACAGAGGTAGCTATAAAGATTGTTTATTTAATATCTAAATAAGAATAAAGTAAAGTATAAAATGTAATTTTTATTGATATGTGATGTTGTTAAATTTGTGTATTGGACGCGTTTCTTAGCTTGCTCTAGCTGTGTTTGCGTTGGAATTGCCTTCACTTTGTGCTAGCCTAGTCCCAACTCGGCGTTGACCTATCAACATCATCGGGAATCCAATTCTGTCTGAATAATAATCCCATGAAATGTGATACATGTATCTCTAACCTAATTCCGAAATATGGAGATTAATCTGCTCATTCATTTGACACCTCATTTATTGAGAATCACCTTCAGGCGCACCCGATGTTGTGTCCTAAAATCATTCCCGTAGTAGGGTGTCTGATCGCGCACCCGATGTTGTGTGCTAAAATTCTTCCCATAGAGATTACACGCATCCCTATGCAGCCTACGTGCATTGCGCGACCATGCAAAAAAAGTCAATTTTTTTTTTCAAATCGAGATTCAAACCTTTATCAGTTGTGATCCTGAAGGTGATAATCAATGAATGAGGTGTCATATGAAAGAGCAGGTGAATTCCAATATTTCCAAAGGGGCGTAGCCCCCGAAATTCTAAAAATATCTTGGTCAAAACAGCAATTTAAACATTGTGTCCTGGCTAACTCTGAGGTTTGTCACTTTTGAGATATGACGCCCCGATCGATAAGTAGTCCCAGTCCTAAGGAACAATTCTATGTGATTATATTTTCGCTAGCCCCAGGGATCACAACTGATAACAGTTTAAAAATACCCTTCTCGCTATTTGGTGGATCAGCTAATTAGGAGGCGTGCGCTCCGCTCAGTCCAAACCATGGTTACATCGCGTAACATCTCCGCGCACGAACGAAACCCCAAATTCAATTACACATTATAGTGACTGAAATTATGGTTGGCAATTCCCTCGATAAACCCGGAAGTGAATACACGTTATAGTCAATGGCAATATCGCGGAGACAACGTGCGTTGTCTCCGCGATATTGCCATTGACTATAACGTGCATTCACTTCCGGGTTTATTGTGCGACGAACGCCAACCATACTAGTCAATCGCACATGTCGCGGAGACAGCGTAGCTCAAGCTGCAAGTCGCGGATTGGCTTAGCAGCATGCGTACGATATGCATACGCTTGCATATCGCGCGATACAGCTGTTTGGCTAAATTTAGCAAAACAACATCACTCTGCGTGGACGTCTTTTTCGTCGATTTTGACCAAAATGATATGAATATACCAGCGTGTTGGAGGGGCTGTAACTTTTGATAGAAACATCGGTGAGACTTGAAATTTGAAATGTATTATTCTGATAACATTTTTTATTCAAATATCAAACAAAAATGGTGAAAAACGATCCCAAATTGAAAATTAAAAAATTGTTCAGACACCCTACCCGTAGAGATATGCACGCATCCCTATGCAGTCTACGTGCATTGCGCGATTATGCAAAATTGGTCGATGTTTTTTTACCAAATCGAGATTCAAACCTTTGAACCTTTCCTTGTGATCCCGAAGGTGATGCTCAATAAATTAGGTGTCATATGAAAGAGTAAGTTAATTTCTATATTTCCAAAGGGGCGTCATCTCGTAACTCTAAAAATATTTTGGTCAAAACAGCGATTTAAACAACATTGTTTCCATCGTAGCTCTGAGATTTGCAACTTTTTAGACGCCCGGAGCATTAAGTAGTCCCAGCATCATTACAGTTCGAAAATACTCTTCCTCCTATTTTGGCGTGACTCTGCTCAGCCTAAATCCATGGTGACGATGTCAATGTCAATGTCTTTCTATTAATTTTGAATTACCATACCCCCCCCCCCCCCCAGAGCTACTAAGTGTCACGCATTAGGCGTGACGTCACGCATTTGGAGGGTCTGAAAACGGCTCTCACGCACGGCGCGCGCTAGATTAAAAAAAAACGCCATACCTATACATGTGTTATACCCTCGCTCGCGCGCCGAAAAATGAAAATGTCACGCATTGCCGATCTTTTACCTTGGCGTCTATGCCCCCCCCCCCTTCCTCGTACTCTCTTACTGTCATTCTTTCGCTATCTCAGGTCCTGTGTAGATTCACAGTCCGCATCTGCCTCGGGAGCTAGCTGAAGAAAACTCCCAGCCATGTTCCTGTACGCACTCACTCTTCAGCGTGCCACGGGCATCGTCCAGTGTATACATGGCAACTTTGCTGGCACCAAGCAGCAGGAGTTGGTGGTTGGGCGTGGCAAGCTCCTGGAGCTGATCAAGATTGATCCCAATACTGGCAAGCTGTACACGGTGCTGAGTCACGAGGTCTTTGGTATCATCAGGACCTTGATGCCATTCAGGCTTACAGGAGGGAGTAAAGGTGAGTTGGTTTCTGCTGTCAGTCCCACGGAGATATGCAATAGGTACTCTGTGCAAGTGCCCGGTAGGAAATTCAAAATCAAAATCAAAAGTTCCCAATAGACTTATGAGTACATGGATGTGAAAACATAATTATTCATTTTGCAAATAGACAAAGAATATTGCATCACAAAGTATTATAAAAACACTTATCTTTTTTTGATTTACAAATTAGAAATCAATTCGCTGCATTACTAATGATGGTTCCAGGTCCATGATATAATGAACTAAACCTACCAGTAGCTTATGTTGAGAGAAGTGTGTGCAGCAATGATGTCTAATATATCTGTTTTAATTCCATATATCACCGTGATGACTACTTTCACTGCTGAGCTGCACTACTTTATCCCACAAGGCAGTTGGTATCCAAAAATATATATCTTCTGTATTCCTTTGAATATTATGAGACTTGGACTTCATTGCCAACAGCTCTTTTTGCACACCTAAAAATACAAACCCTGAAACTGTTAACTAAGCCTGAGTCGGTAGGGTCTCTCACACCGAATCAGTGTTCATAATTTTTTTGTTTATTATTTATATATTTTGATCATGAAAAAAGAAATTGTTGCTCATCAGGATTTATTAGAATACCTGTGGTGATCACACTGGTGATGATAAATGTTTATGTTTCAATGGCTTTCTTGTTTTCAACATAGTGGCACTCATGTTTTTTTGTCTGTTTTGTTTTTGAACAGATTTCATAGTGGTTGGTTCAGACTCTGGTAGGATCATCATTCTTGAATACAATGCTGCTAAGAACTGTCTTGATCGGGTAAGCTGAAGTAATTGGTAAAGGTAGATTTTCTTTTAATATTAAAAAATAGTTATTTTGAACCTCAACATATTGCCAATTTCAGGATTTTAAAGCTTATTTCCCCTTCTAAGATTCCTGGCATCAAATGCACTATGAACAGGCAACAAAAATGGACATAGCATGTCCAGAAATGTTTGCCCTTTCTACTTGTATATGTGATATTTCCAGGGCTCTGAAAGTTATTGAGCCAAAGCACAAAGTTTAGAATGATTGCCTACAGAACCCTTCACTTTCTATATGAGCAGATCTTTGTAAATTACCTTGAGTATTCATGAGCATACATTATTGGGAAGGTATTGCTCATAATTTCTAGAAGCAATGACTATTATTTAAAGGATCTTTTTGCATTCCAGATTATATTGTCAGCTTGGAGCCATGTTAACTCATGTACTTAAACACAGAGTTAACGGCCTCCTGGTCTCAAACAGACAATATGCTGTATCTTCTTAAGTTTAACCATCTTCTTGCAATGGTATCTTCTACCCTCAAGGTCCATCAAGAGACGTTCGGAAAGAGCGGGTGCAGGCGCATCGTGCCAGGTCAGTTCCTAGCAGTAGACCCCAAGGGTCGTGCCGTCATGGTTGGTGCCTTGGAGAAGCAGAAGCTTGTGTACATCCTCAACAGAGATGCCCAGGCCAGGCTCACCATCTCGTCCCCTCTGGAAGCCCACAAATCAAACACCTTCTCCTTCCACATTGTAGGGGTGGATGTGGGCTTTGAGAACCCCATGTTTGCATGCCTGGAGATTGACTATGAGGTGAGTATCACTATCATTGTGGTGGTGGTTATTTTACCAGATTGCTAAGAAAGCATAAATGCTTTTTATAAGCAACCAGACGGCCGACGACTTGAGGTCCTCTCCAAGGGACCTGGTAATGAGAATTAATGCCATAGGGTGGTATTCTCGAAAGCGGCCTAAGTTAAACCTGGCCTAAGTTAAACCGTGGTTTAGTTAGGCCAGGCTTAACTTAGGCCGCTGACCTAAGTCATTTTCATTTCTCGAAAGGTGGTCTAACTGATCCATGGTTTAAACCTGGCCTAAGTTAGTCCATGGATTATTCACCATGGTTACGGTTTCTGCACATGCTCAGTACCGAAGCTGCGACGTCACAATGCACTAAGACAATGGATGCGTGCAGTAGGGAGAGGATGCATCACCTCGACAACTTGAGCAATCTGACGTCACAATGCACTAAGACAATGGGCTAAGACAATGTATGCGCGCTGAGTGTGGAGAGGATGCATCACCTCGACAACTTGAGCAATATGACGTCCAGGGACGGCGGAGCGACTTCCAAAGCGGGGGGCAGCACCAACAAAAAGGGCACTTGCTGGAATTGTATCATTGTTAAAAGGGAAATTATCAGAGATGAAAAGGGTCACATATCGCACCTGAAAAGGGGCATTGAACATATTTTAAACGGGGCACTTATGAGAATGAAAAATAGGCACTTATAATAAAGGAAATGTGCTTTTGTTGAAATAAAAGGGGCACCGATAATTTTGTTAATAGGGGCACCTCTCAGATTTAAATAGGGCAATAATCAGAGGTGAAGGGGCACTTCTGAAAAGTGAAAAGGGGCACTTATTGCAAAGGAAAATGAAAACTTGTCAAAGGAAAAGGGGCGCGTGTCAAAATTAAAGGGGCACTTATCAGAGGTGAAAAGGGGAAGGGGCACTTTTCCTATGGAAAAAGGGGCACTTCTTACAAAGTTAAAAGGGAACTTTCCTATATAAAAAGGGGCATTTGAAAAAAGGGGCACTGTCAACCCCCCCCCCCCCAACTCTTTCTCCCTATCTCCATCTCTCTCTCTCTCTCACACACACACACACACTATCTCACATCATTGTTTATTTCTCTCACCATTAAATTGTTCTTTCTCATTTGGTTCCCTTTCTCTTTTACTCTATCTCTCTCTCTCTCTCGTTCGCTCTCTGTTCTCCCACTGTTCTATTTCAAGACTTTTTCCATGTATAATTCAATGAACCCAACAATATGCACACTTAAAATCAAAAGATATGAAAGGAATATTGTATATAACATATCAACAATTATGTTCAATTTATTTATTTTTCTTAAAACAGAAAAGATTGTAATTCATGATGAATACGATTATAAAATTGAAGGTCAAAATCAAATATTAAGCTCCAATAGCCTCATAATCTGCTACTTGAAACTATTAGAATTAAATGTTATGTATTTGTTACATCACCTACTCTAAAATTTTTTTAAACAAAGCATAGTCTACTTTTGAGCTGTGTTTCTTGTGCAGGGAATCTGTTATATGATGACTTGCACTATATTATAAAACACAATACAAAACATAATTTCTTAAATGACTTAAAATCACAATTTTTCCAGTGAAACAGTAAACATCTGATGTACATAAAAACATCCTTATGAGTAATTGTTCCTTTGTGGTTCACACACACAACAAGGACATATCAGGCTTATTATCAATGGTTGCTTGTTTGTTACCATAGCTTCATGTTATGAGGATTATAATACAAAAGGTTTTGATCCCCATGCAGTCACAGTTACAGCAGACGGAGTTTGGTTCATTGAATAGGCTAAGTAGAACTTCATAGTCCCCGCAAGTATGTCTGTTGTATGAAAAGAGAAAAGAATAAAAGGAAGCACATTGAAACCTATTTCTATTAAACATTAAATATGTCTTGCATGTACATTGTGACCAAAGTAGACTTACATGCACATTGTGGTAAAAGTGTAGTGCATAATCAGTTACATGAAAGTATTGATGGAAAAATGTGAATGAACAAATGTACCTGGGCATACAAACTACAGCCTACCTCTCAGAAATTCAGCAGCTCAGAAGTTCTCCTTCCTCTCTCTGAATTTGTCTTAATCATCAGGTTATTTGCCTTCATTTATTTTACTGAAGAAGAACATCATCCTGAAACAAAAATAAAAAGGTTTAGACCTCATTAAAATACCAAAGATCTACTCCATTGATAATTGGTCTTAGTTATAGTGTCAATCATATTCTAACTTAAAAAACAACAACTAACTTTCATGTAGGCAGTGACTAGGCACCCCCTCCCCACTCAGTTACTAGTAATCATTGATTTACAGAATGACTACCGGTATCTCTTTTAAAGTCAAGAACAAACATACACATTCTTGCAGTACTATCTCATAAATGTGCTTGCACCAAGTGCTACTTGCCATGTCATGGCCTAAGAAAGCCAACTTAGTCCCTTTCCTAAAATCAAGTCTAGAGGTCTACATCTTACTTAGATAACCAGCCGACAGTTGGCCTAACCTAGATGTAAACGCAGCCTGGAATGTAGATTTTACAAGGCCCTAATCGTTAGAGCCCAACTTTTCCATTTTAGTTCAATCTAACATTAGACCAAAGATTGTCTTTGTTTACGTTATCTCCCAAAATGAGCTTCGTGAAGGGGAAAAAAGTAAAATGAAAATTTACTGCACTGTACTGTACTGCAGTCTGTAGGTCTCTAAGTCTTATATGATCTAGAATTGTTAGTGGTAGGTTTGAGTTTTCTTCTGACCCAAATTTGAAAGTAGTTAATCAACTGTTGATTATTTGTGTCTTATTTTCAGAGATAGTTCCGCCCAAAAGTCTAGGCCAAGCTGTCACTGTCAGGAGTGACTGGTAGCCATGGCAATCAAGCTGAAGATATTAGCTCGTGCCGACGTAAAATGATAAAAGTTTGAGCGTAGATTGCACCTACATTCATCAGACAAACAAATTTTAAATCACTACATAATGTACCTTAAGACACATCTGCAGATTCATAAAATCAGCAGACCTTTTTAATAAAAATTGTATAAACATTATTTAGTTTACAAAAGTAAGACGTTATTACAGCATTACTCACCAGCAGACTTTCCAAGAAAAATGGAGTATCTATTTTTCCTGTTCAGGAAATGACTGGTGTTGGGCCAACTGGCTTGGAGACGCCTATGTGGGTGCAATCAATAGCACCAACCATATTAACGCCAGGGAAATGGCAGTAATTATAAAATTCATGTTGGGTCTGCACTCTGCAGGACTGCCTCTCTTGTTGAAAGAATTGAGATGTATTGCTCCGATCTCCTGGCAATGGCTATTGAGATGGACTTCACAAGGCGGGACACAGTAGCGTGGGAGAGGCCTTCTTTTTTCATCCCCATGCATCAATTGGAAAGAACCTGAAATAGCAGAAAATCAAGATGAAAAATATGTTGATATTTGATAAGAAATTACAATTTCTCTTTCTCTGTAGTTTACTAATAGAGTTATTAGACTAAGCTAGGTCTACTGTAACATTATCAGCAAATGTATATGTCAAAAAAGGAAGCTTCTGTCCATTTCCTTTCAATTCCTGTAAGACCTGTCAAGACTAGACTCTTATTGATGAAATTTAGATTTCTTGGGGAGGGGGGGGGGGGGGGGGGTGGTTATGAAAATCATCATCATCCTGTAGAAAATTATCCCACCAACAGCCACAACTAGCACTGCAGCTCAGGCAGAGGTGTTACCAGACCGAAATTTCTGTCTTTTTCGTTCATTAGCCTCTGATTTGGATAGGGTCGGCTCCTGAAAGAGATCCTACCCAAATCAGAGGCTAACGAACGAAAGAGACAGCCAGATCTAGTAGATCTAGGCCTAGCCCTAGGCCTAGTGCTAGTTCACTTTCAGGCAACAGCGTCTCGAAAATCCACTATAAAAGTAGTTTCTACGTCTAGCAATGATAATTTTAAGGTGGTGTTAAGGTGGTATATGCGTACGAAAGTACAATAGTGCCCAGAAAAAAATTACCCGGTAAGAAATTGCTCAATCTCAGGAAACGAAAATGTTAACCGACAATTATTTGCACGTATGGGACTGGTCTGCAATCACCATGAAAATTTACCAAGTTTCTCCCAAATTTATTCAGTTAAAAGCATTTTAGATTATCACCAGTACAGCAAAATGAAAGTAACAAAGATATTTTATTAGCTGGTGTAACTTTCATGAGCGCTTATCCGTGCAAAAGAGTGTAAATTGTTATCAAATATAGAAATTCAAATGCAAAACTTACCGTTCACTCTCTGCGGACACTCGATTTAACTAAAACGTGACGTCACGCGAAGTTAGGCCGAACTATGACGTATTTAAACCTGCCCTCTGAGCGGCCTAAAGTTAGGCCGAACTATGACGTATTTAAGCCTGGCTTATCTTTAGGCCACCTTCGAGAGTAGCAAAAAAGATAGTCCATGGTTTAAACCAGGTTTAGGCCACTGATTTAACTTAGGCCGCTTTCGAGAATACCACCCATAGAATATAAATGAAATGGTTGGCCTGTTTTACCTGACTGCTAAAAAAGCATGTGTATGCTAGTCAGGATAGCCATCAGACCGGTGGCTCTATTCTAAGTTCTCTCTGAGGGACTTGGTAATTTTGAATAATACCTTACCAAACGGCACTACTTGGTTTCAAATCCGGGACCTCCTGTCCATTGCATTTCTTTGATTTAGATGCTGAGGTGTAGTGGTTCATATTATCTAATCAATCAACTCTTACCTGATGTCTGTCCCTTAAACAAGCCTGTCATTGGTCATTATCTCTCTCTCTGTCAACACAGGCGATGCAGTCTGATAGGGGGGGGGGGGATTCCTGGAATTATGTAACCCCTTTACTGGTTGCTCAAATAAAGCTGTGGTAGTAATAGAGAGCCACTTTGGTGGATAGGAGCACCAAAAGACAATGTAATTAGTTTTAAAGGCATCATGTTTGACTGCTTCCATTAAGAATCTACTTACATATTCTCTACTCTGAGTATTTTAATGTTTAATTTCAGATAGCTTGAAAGCTATTTTGTTTAACCTATTCAATGACTGAGCTAAACAGAAATATTTTATTCAAAATTGAATAGTAAATGGTTTTATGTGATGTTTCACTGGATCGATTGCAGAGATGATGTACTTATGCTTCCGTGTTTCAGCTGATTCTCAGTGATTATACAACTTAGCATGCTGACCTGTACATCCTTCATCACTTGTATTTGTTTACAAATTTAATCATTCAACTTAATGCAGAGTCCTTACCATTTATTAAAATTAAGAATCTACTTATACATTCTTTATTTGTAATTCTAAGTTTCAGTAAAGCCTTGGGTCACAAATGCCATTACGAACTGCTACGAACGCTGTATGAACGATTTCCAGACAATGGAAATTCGGGAAGACAATGGAAAAACGGAGATTCGTACGAACCATCGTGACCATAGCATTAGCTTAAAGAGGGCTGAGGGATTATCAACTAGGTTGAATTACTTCAATGAAATATAATTTTTTGAAATTTTAATCTTGTATTTGTTATTTATAAACTTTTTCCTGTGGTTTGTTTTCCTGCTGTAATACAATAAATAAAATTGTCATATTAAGTGCACAAGTAATTTTTTACTACTTCTGTAGAAAGAAAGAAAAAAAAAAGAATTTTCAGCATCGTTTCTGTTTCGCTTGATTTAGACACTTCATACTTTTGATTAATAAACAGTTTTGTGAATGAAAATCACATACTGTCATGGCTGTCATAGAAAAGACCTGATTTAGGCAAAAATCTTAATATGGTAATTAGCCTGACAAAATGAAGCATAGATTTAATATCTACATAAACAGGCCTGATAAAAACCTGATTTAAATCGGTTTCCCGATTTTTTTTTATTTTTCCTGATTTTTTCCTGATTTTTTTTCTTCTTCCCGATTTAAAAAAAAAAAAAAAAAATCCAGAATTTTTTTTTTCTTTTTTTTTTTCTTCCCTATTTTTCTCCCAATTTTCCCAGTTTTGTCCCAATTTTCTTTCTCGAAAGGGGGGAATGTTGTTAGATGCCATTTTTTTTTTTTTTTTACTCAAGGGGGGCGTGGTTGAGGGGAAAACAAAAAACCTATTTTTTTTTTTAGTGCTCACTATCACCCCTGATAAAGCAATGAAAACGTATTTGATGCTGAAACTGTTCCTGTCCTTTCTATGACAGGATGCTGACAGTGACCCCACAGGAGAGGCTGCTCAGGCCACCCAGCAGCTGCTCACATACTATGAGCTGGATCTGGGGCTCAACCATGTGGTCAGGAAGTACAGTGAACCCCTGGAGGAATATGGAAACTTACTCATTGCAGGTAACATTCTGATGACAGGGAACGTTACTCGGTGTTGACCAGTGGTCAGTAGAGAAGGGGAATGATTTGAGAAGCACATGCTTTTATTTTGAAAGGGTCATTTAAGTTGTTCCTATTTGAAGCTAATGCAACATGAATCCGTAGTAATTGTTGAGAAAAATCCAGATTTTGATCATCATATGAATCATATGAAATAGCTGCTATGTCAAGTACACAGTTGAATTGAATTTTGTCATTATAAAGAAAAGTAGCAAAATACATGTAGCTAATTGTTAATAGGCAAATGTTGATCTCTATTTTTTTCATTAGATTGAGTGCAGAAATGATGAGCTATGCTTCCGTGTTTCAGCTTATCATTGAAGTGATTATAAAACTTAGCATACTGATCTGCACTATTGAACAACTTATACCAGTTTCTCATTAAAAGTTCATTTCATCATGTAGATTAGCTAGAGACCTGTATTAAACTAAAGGTAAAATACTTAGCCAAAAGCTTTGAATGAATATTAAAGTTCCATCTGTCTTTGTCCCCTAGCTTGGAGGTAGTTGGGGGCTACGATGAAATGGACCTTGAGACACGGGTTGTCTATAACTTCCTGTCTTCAGCAAAATTTATAATTTGTATGAGTAGAATACTCATGCATGTATTTCAGACATAGGTATAAAATTGAATACCAGCCCCAGGAGACATAGTTTTAAGTCATGTTTGTTGTTTATTTATCCAATGACAGTTCCCGGAGGGAGTGATGGTCCAAGTGGTGTGTTGATCTGTTCAGAGAACTACATCACGTATAAGAACCTTGGAGATCAACCAGACATCAGGATGCCTATACCAAGGAGAAGGGTAAGTAACCAAAACAATTTGTTATATGTTAAAAGGACATTTATTTGCTGAATACAAACCTAAAGGTAAACACCAGTATTTGAAATGCCTCAATTTCAAAAAATGAAATGGAAGCTCTTATTACCAATCATGTGAAAGAATATGTTTGACTAATACATGATGATAAAAAATTTGCCAGGAAACCGCCTACTAATTGATATATTTGGTAAATTAGTTTATCTATTGGTATGTGAGAGATAAACGCATGTGTCGCGCACATGTGCGTAGTCCCATATACATCTTTCTGTGTACAGTGTTTGTAACTTTACGAAGACTGGGCCAAATTTCTTATCATTTTGATGATTCCAGAACCTTGCGGTAATAATAATAATAATAATAATGTAACTTATATCGCGCCAAATCCACTCTGTGGAGTGCTTAAGGCGCGTGTAAACAGGAAAAACGATCAACCTCTTCTGATCGATTCCACAACATTTCTTTCACAATGCAATCGCATGACCAGAACTGGTCTTTATCTTTAAGCACTTGCCTAGAAGAATTACATAATTAGACAAATTGTGCAGACTCAATGCCTTCCAACATAGAAAGATTCATTTTTAAATCAATCATGTTTTAATTAGATTGAGTGCAGAGATGATGTGCTTATGCTTCCGTGTTTCACCTGATCTTTGAAGTGATATCAAATTTAGCATACTGATCTGTACTCAACTTTACTCATCCCTAAGTCACTTTGTTCTTGTTGCTCAGCCACAATATTTCACTGTGTTTTCTTCTTTTTTTAAATCCTCTTTTAGAATGACTTGGATGATCCAGAAAGGGGCATGATCTTTGTTTGCAGTGCTACCCACAAAACAAAGGTGAGAACTGGTTTTACAAGGAATATTCTTTCAATAAACTGAAATGAATGAATTAATCAATTAATGACTCATTCTTTCAAAATGAAAGAACAGCTATTTTGTCTAACATTCTCCCAACAATGATTGAGCTAAACATAAATATTTTATTAAAAATTTAAAATGTGATGATTTTATATGTTTCACTGGAAAGATTGCAGAGATGATGTACTTATGCTTCCGTGTTTCAGCTGATTCTCAGTGATTATACAACTTAGCATGCTGATCTGTACATCCTACACCATTTGTATTATTCCACTCAAGATATCAATGCAGTGTCCTTACCGTTTATTGAAATGACAAAAGTAATTTACATTGCACTAAACATGAAGTTATATCAAAGCAGTTACAATGTATATGACATACGAAAGTTAGACAAAATTATCTTAGTAGCAAAAGTAAGCCTTCAGTCATCTTTTAAATTTGGATATCTATACCGTTTGAATTAGGCATGGGACATTGTTCCAAGCTCAAGACCCTTTAACATTAAGAATTACAATTCTTTTAGTCATATCTTCTTCAATCAATGGTAACTTTACAATTGAAGACCTACAATTAATGCTATGTTGTAAAGAGATACAATGTATTCTAAGATACAATTAGTTGCAGCAAGATTGGAGATACAATAGACTTTTACAATCGATTATAATTCAAATTTTATGGTACAAAGAATTATTGTTCTATCTTTTCCACAGTCCATGTTCTTCTTCCTGGCCCAAACTGAGCAAGGAGACATCTTCAAGATCACTTTAGAGACGGATGACGACATGGTGACTGAGATACGAATGAAGTACTTTGACACCGTCCCCGTCGCCACGTCCATGAACGTCCTCAAGACCGGGTTCCTCTTCATTGCATCAGAATATGGCAATCAGTAAGTGAGATACAACCACAATGCCTGTGACTATTATTTCAGATAATACATGGATTGACAAAACCATATTCAAAGTTTGTTTGTGTTTGATGTCTTGACCCAAGCAATTTCATGGCATGTTTTAAAGTAATATTTACTGCAAAACATCAGGTGTAATGATATGCTGCTTTCAATTGGCCATTGAAAAAAGTTCTTTCAAAACCTGAAATATGACATTTTTAACCATTATTATTACTAAGATAGATGGGACAATAAATGACAAAACCGGTTCTGTCTCTTGGATAGCTTATGTTGAGAGAAGTGTGTGCAGCAATGATGTCTAATATATCTGTTTTAATTCCATATATCACTGTGATGACTACTATCACTGCTGAGCTGCACTACTTTATCCAACAAGGCAGTTGGTATCCACAAATATGTATGCTATGTATTACTTTGGGATAATATCAGCATTGGTCTTCATTGCCAACAGCTCTTTTTATACACCTCATCATTCAAATCCTGAAACTTCAAAATTAATATGGCAAGTGAGCTGTTACCATGACCAGACTAGAGAAAGTTGTGAGAGGATTGAGGTCAGAAAATAAACTGTTGCCAAATGGAACACCAGTTTAGGGAAAAGCAATATTGTTATATTTGCAGAATACACTGACCATGTCGGCAAACCTAATCTTCATATTGGTATTCCAGATTTGGGTGGGGGGGGGGGGGGGGGCATTGTAGCAACAACAAAACCAGACTATCATTGTAAATAATTGTTTGTTGTTTGTCCACCTTCATCTGTAGCTACCTGTATCAGATCGCCCATCTTGGTGACGATGATGATGAGCCGGAGTTCAGCAGTGCCACACCCCTCGAGGAAGGGGATACCTTCTTCTTTGCACCCCGTACCCTCAGGAATCTAGAGGAGGTGGATCAGCTGGAAAGCCTCTCTCCTATCCTTTCTTGCCAGGTATGTGTAATAGTAGTACTATTGTATCCTCATTGGAAATACTTCATCCACTTGTGCGTACAATATACGCAATAGGCGGTCACGGCAGGATAAAAATATGTGGTATGCCTGAGTATGCATAATTCATAGGAGGGAAGACAGATATTATCAAACATACATACATGAACATAGGTAGAAAAGACAGTATTGCAGTTGGAAGCGATACATTTTGTAAACCGTGAAAATCTTTGCTGATTTTAACAAGATATGAATCATCTATTATTTACGAATGAGGCTTGCAAGAACTAAACCGACCAGCAGCTTATGTTGAGAGAAGTGTGTGCAGCAATGATGTCTAATATATCTGTTTTAATTCCATATATCACCGTGATGACTACTTTCACAGCTGAGCTGCACTACTTTATCCAACAAGGTGGTTGGTATCCAAAAATATGTATCCTATGTATTCCTTTGGATTAATATCAGCATTGGTCTTCATTGCCAACATGATATTGTAAAATGGAACATAAGCTTGTATTAATTCAATTGAAAACTAAAGCACATGAAGGTAAAAACAACTTATTTATGGTTTTTAATGAGATGCCTAAGAGATTACTGTTTGATAAATCTAGAGTTTTTCTGAATCAGGTTGAGAATAACTTAAGAATAACTTTAGAAGCACTCATTCAATTTATCAGTTCAATTCAATAATTGTATTTGTATAACTCAATCAAAACATGAATAAACTGATCTACTATTTTGAATCTCTTTGAGGGAGAAGCATATCATTAACATATTGTGATTTATAACTTCATACCTTTGTGATGTATTGAAATCCTGTAGATTGCTGACTTGGCCAGTGAAGACACTCCTCAACTCTACGTTGCCTGTGGACGAGGTCCAAGATCATCCATGAGAGTGCTAAGGCACGGATTGGAGGTTAGTATACAAGGGGGGTGTTTCACAAAAGTCCTAAGTTGGACATAACAATTATGGAAAGCCATTAGTGTCTATGAAAATATTTTGTAAAAGTTATTATAAAAGGTATAAAATGTGGATTCAAATCATTCTTATTTTCTATTATCAAGGAGATTTCATGTTCTTGATGTGGAATTTATAAAAAGTCTAAAATACTTAAATTTCCCCTTTTGAATATATTTTATTTTAAGGCTACAAATAGCTCTCCATAATTCAGAACTCCAAACATGAATGAGGCTTGCAACAACTAAACCTACCAGAAGCTTATGTTGAGAGAACTGTGTGCAGCAATGATGTCTAATATATCTGTTTTAATTCCATATATCACCGTGATGACTTACTTTCACTGCTGAGCTGCACTACTTTATCCAACGAGGCAGTTGGTATCCAAAAATATGTATCCTATGTGTTCCTTTGGATATTTGATTTATTTGATTTATCATTGATTAACTTATCGCTGGAAATGTTAGTCACAACTGACCGTGCGTAATCATACAGTATGAATATTGTCAATGTACAATTGTATACTATAGCTGTTCAAAACAGTAACAACATTTTGGATAAAACTAAAACATCTCGGTCTTCCATGTTTTATCATGCCTAGGTATCTGAAATGGCTGTGTCAGAGCTTCCAGGTAACCCTAATGCTGTGTGGACGGTCAAAAAGAAATCGGATGGTGAGTCTATTTTTTTTATATCTCTGCATCCAAAAGGACACATCAGGGCCCCATCTAATAAAGAGTTGCAAGTTTGCAGTCCCCAATCTTTTATGATTGATAACAATCGCAACTGTTTATAAGACAGGGCCCAGGTCCCTAAATACCATGTTTTGGTTACCTGCTACTGGACCCTAACACTGAATCGTAACACAATTTTTAGTCTGATTAGACAGGTTTTTACTGTATTATAGTATACCATAGTAAGAAAAATAAAACGAGGGTGGTAGAATGGCTTTTACATTTTGTAACTAGATATTTAGAACAGACCATCTGTAATTCTCTTGAACAACCAAAAAGAGCAGACTGTGGATATGATGAGTTAATGCATCCGTGTTTCACCTGAGAAACCAATGATTAGTCTTTGCATTCTGATCCAAAATTATCTTACTTCATTCAAATACTACATTCAGAAATGAGGATAAGCTTTTAAGTAAGATTGTGCAATATTGTAATGATATTAAATGGTCAATATAATGAATGATGATATGTAATATAGATACCGGTATGTTAAATAGCAGACGAAGAGGTTTTGTTTGTATTTGTTAAATCTTTTTCAAGAGGGGTGTTGAGATACAGCATTTGTATAAAAATATGATCTTAGGATGCGCTCATATATAGATATTTATGTTCTTTTCCAAATACATGTATTTACTTGACAAGAGACAAATCGTTCATTTAAAGATAGTTCATTCTGGATAATGAAAATTAAATTTGAACAGGGTATTATGCAAAGATTTTGATGATGAGAGTATAGCTACACTTGTTAAAGTGATTATATTATTGTTTTATTTGTTGTGTGTAGATGAGTATGATGCGTACATCATCGTGTCCTTCGTCAACGCTACCCTGGTTCTCTCCATCGGTGAGACGGTTGAAGAAGTGACAGACTCTGGTTTCCTGGGGACCACGCCCACCCTCTCATCATCACTCATTGGAGATGATGCTCTCTTACAGGTAACAAGTGCTAGCACCATCAGGGACCCGTTTCACAAAGCCTTTTTTCAATGACAAATCTGCTGATAACCAATCAGAAGCAAGGATTTCAGTAGCTTATAACAAAAACTGTCATTTGTTAGCGATGACAAGTTTTGTAAAATGCCTTCCCTCCCCCAGGAATATGTTTGTTCTATGACACATCCAAAAATAATTGTACACGTTCGATGTCTATGACTAAGACACCTTCCTCGGATGTGCCATTGAAGGTGTCTGAACCAGAACCATTGAAACTGTTTAAAGGTAAATACTTTTTGGAAGTTAAAAAGAACTTATTCCAGATAGTTTACACTATTCAGATGAACTTGTTTAGCGGTGTTCTCACTGAAATATGTTAATATCTGTCGGCAAAATTGAGTGAACTTGGACTGAGGAACTTGAGGGAACCTGTTGTGGGATGAATGAGGCTTGCAAGAACTAAACCTACCAGTAGCTTATGTTGGGAGAAGTGTGTGCAGCAATGATGTCTAATATATCTGTTTTAATTCCATATATCACTGTGATGACTACTTTCACTGCTGAGCTGCACTACTTCATCCAACAAGGCAGTTGGTATCCACACAAAATATAAAACTCATGAAAGAGTGGAAGAATTGAAAGAATTTCTCCTTTGGAATATCACTTTGTGATGTCACCCAACCTTGTGACAAGCTTTGTCTTTGTCATCCTATTCATAAAGGGTCATCCTCTGTTTTGCCTTGACCAAAACTATTGTGAAATTACTAAAAACCTTGCATGTAGAGATACAGTGTACAGGCCATTTATGTTGCAGTATTATTGTCATGAGGTGTATAAGTTCAGACAAAAGACAAACATAGTAAAAGGTAAATAATTATAGATCATGAAAATGAAATGTTACCCTTGTAGTGATTTTTGTAGACTGCCATTTTAAAAGAACTTTCTTTAAATAATTTCTTCTTGTAGATCTACCCAGATGGTATTCGACACATCCGCGCAGACAAGCGTGTGAATGAGTGGAAAACACCTGGTAAGAAGTCTATCGTCAAGTGTGCTGTCAACCAGAGGCAGGTGGTCATCGCACTGACGGGCGGAGAAATGGTCTACTTTGAAATGGATCCTGTAAGTTGGCTAACCTTGATTGTAGTTGCATGCACTATTCGCTAATTGCCAATTATTCAGTGCAATACACGAATAGACTACAGCAGGAAATATTGTCTTTATGTTTGTTCTTCATGTCACAACTATAGCCCTTTCTGTGGATAAATTCAATGGATGATTTGTACAAATATAAGTACGGTCAACAGTTAAGAGATACTGTCTCCTCCAAAAGTTGTATGTCAAAGTGAAAAAAATGATTCAATGTGGGTATTGGGTTAGGGTTTAATACCAAAGCTCTTCCCAAAGAATTATAATTTCCCCAAACTTCATGTAGCCAATCTCCAAACACGAATGAGGCTTGCCAGAACTAAACCTACCAGATGCTTATGTTGAGAGAAGTGTGTGCAGCAATGATGTCTTATATATCTGTTTTAATTCCATATATCATCGTGATGACTACTTTCACTGCTGAGCTGCACCACTTCATCCAACAAGGCAGTTGGTATCCAAAAATACGTATCCTACATATTCCTCTAGATAATACCAGCATTGGTCTTCATTGCCAACAGCTCTGTTTACACATCTCACTGTACAAACCTTATAACTTTTAACATTATCATCTTGTTGTGTAGACTGGACAGCTGAATGAATATACAGAGAGGAAGGAGATGAACGCCGATGTGAAGTGTATGAGTCTTGCCACAGTGCCTTCGGGCGAACAGAGAGCAAGGTTCCTGGCTGTAGGTCTAGACGACAACACCGTTCGCGTCATCTCTCTTGACCAATCGGTAAGTCAGAATCTGGATATTTAACATCTTTTGTGTTATATCACCCTTACATGTGATTGTATAATAATAATGATATTTCTGCTTATATACAGGGCGCGACAAACCCGCTTGCCCGACGTCCCGGGGCAACCAAATTGAGCCGTCGGGCAAGTAAATCAAATTATCACTTGCCCGATTCGGGCAAGTGATACTTTTACAGTAATTTCCTAGTGTCCAAGAACTCTACCATTCACCCGTCAACTTCTTACCCGTCGTCAAAATCCAGAAGCAAAAAAGCGATCGTTCCGATTTCGAAAAAACTTCACAGACAGCTAGCCAGCTCAGCTAGCTCAGCGCGCATGCAACAGTGACACTTCAAGCCATGAATGCCGCTCCGCCTCCACGCACGGCCGGCCGTGAGCTAGCTAGAGACAGCTAGCGCGATCGTACCAGCTGCGAGCTTATTCGCGCTCTCTCTCTCTAGCTCTGCAGGCCGCACCGACAGGCCTTTGCTATTCTCTGATTGCCGATTGGTTGAATCACGCCAAATATGACGTCATTATTCTAGGGAAATGAACACGTGCGAATCGGAATGGAATAAACAACAGGGATTTTCTAGTAAGTACAAAAAGTCAAATGTTTGATATTTATTCATAATGACTGTTAATGATTGTGAACATATTATTTAAAACTCGCTGCTCATATAAATCAGATGAATGTTTTTGTCTCGTTTTCAATTTATTACTGCGGTCTCAAGATCCGACCGAGCGAGTCATTTTGATAATAGTATCGAGACCCCCAGAATATAAGCCGTTGTTGTTTTGTTTTCATGGTTTTAGCGACGTTGTTTAGTCTAGTTTTCGCATACTTATCCGAGATTTATCGTAAAATATCTTCAATATTATTATTTAGTAAGAATTTACAAATTTTGGCATGATATTTATAGCAGTGAATGATGAAATAAAAATGTCCGTACTTTATTTAAAATAGTTGATTACCCATTATTTACATGACGTTTCTTGATGGAAGAGTTGACCCAAATTATTAACAGCTGAAAATTAGCCTACGTTTCCAAATGACAGCGGCTTGCACAGACACACATGTGATGTTGCACCATGGTACATGTGGCTACCATTAATGACATGTTTGTATCATATTTTTTACAACAGGGTCATTATGCTTTTTTACATGACTGAATATTAAAAACTTAAACCTGCTTGAACCATTCTACCTTGCCGAGATTCATGTGAATCTGATTATTTATGGAGAATCAATAAAATGCGTTTTTTAAACCTTCAACCATCCTTTGTTGACCATTTTCTTTGACATATTAGGTTATTATTCAGTACAGTTACACTGTACATGTATGTGCATTAATTTGCTATCTAAAACACTAACTTATCATTACGAGATAATAAATGCTTTAACCTCGAGTCCTTTTTCGCTTTAAAGTTTTGGGCAAGTGGAAATATTGTTTGGGCAAGTAAATTGAAAACCCACTTGCCCGACAGGGCAAGTGGTGAAAAAAATTCTTGTAGCACCCTGATATAGCGCTTAATACATTGGCAATGTCCAAGTTTCTAAGTGCTTTACAGATATGTTGTTACCCCTATCGGATTCTGGCTTGCCCGCACACAATGTTTGCACTTTCTCCACTCCCTGGGGAGCATTCCAGCAAGAGCTACTTGGCTCTTATGTATGGTATGTGAAGATAGTGACCTTTATCTATTACTTAAACCACCCAAGAGGTACCACATTGTAGTGTATGACATACTGCATGGCAATGATGTCTATATATCTGTCAATCCCCTGAAATTAAATTGTTGACAACTATACTCACGAATTCTGAGCTGTGCAGTGATCATGTCATATCCAATACTTGTTAAATGATTATAATCGTTAAGCAAAAAAGGCTTGCATATTGTTGAAAAGGCATAAACAAAATACAGGTATCTGGAAATATAAAACATAACAATAAATACTGTGATACTTATGGCTATTTCACATTTTATGCTCTGTATTAATACAGTCAAACCTGCTTTAGTGACCACCTGTCTATAAAGGCCACAATTTTTGTTTCCTTTGAAAATGGTTTCCTATTGAAACATGTACTAAAGGAAACTACATAAAGACCACTTTTCTTGTCTCCCTTGGGTGGTCTTTATAGACAGGTTTCACTGTACTGAAATAGCAATTGTCTAAATGGGTTGGGGAACCTGTAGTAGTTCTACTATTGATCGACCTTCCCCCAAGCTCTTTGTCAAAATAAGCCATAATCTTAGTAATAATAACTTGATATAACATGACAAGCCGGGGTAATAATAAATGCGCCTCGGAATAGAATTTCTAGATAGACGGTGCTATAGAAATGCCTGTTATTATTATGATATGTTATAACCCTTAAATTATATTTTGCTTTGTATAATAGGACTGTCTTCAACCACTAAGTATGCAGGCATTGCCAGCCCCTGCTGAAGCCCTGTGTATCATTGAGATGGGAGGAACGGAGGCCAGGGAAGAAACTGGTGAGAGGGGCAGCTCAGGGGGCCTCTTTCTCAACATTGGTCTTCAGGTAAGCACGTCAATGGCAACCTGTTTGTAGAAGGCATTGAATCTAGCTAGATGTTTGTACTTGTGGTGTGATGCATCAATTTGCACATGTAAATGGTCAAGCGTGAAGCCTGATGCACTCTATACCATCCAAGTCAAAGATTAAATTCAGCCTTAGAAATATTTCACTTTTTCAATCTTTCATCCTTAAAATTGACCTGGTTAGCCTCCTGCTCATAGCTGCCAACCATTCCTACTTTTTGCCTTCAAGCTATTGTTTGAACCATAGATAACTCTAATTATTTGTTAAATATACTGCGTCAAAAATATACAAGACAGACTGTTCTCCTAATTTTGTCTCGAGAGATTCCTTACTCTTGCTGTGAAATGTTGGCAGGTGTGCATGCTAAACAAGTTGTTCTCCATTAAAGTCATTCTCCAATACTCCTAGTTGTAATTCTGCTACTACTAATACTCTTTAAATCTAATTGAGGGTCTTCTAAAAATTTATTGGTAATTGGATAGAATGCTCTGCGCTAGGCTCAGTTAAATATTGCAAAAGTTTGTAAGTTAAGAAACGGGCTTCACAATGATTGAAGCCCATTATGCACAACTTAACCATAGTTAACACCTTGACTGCGTATATGCATCATGCACGACTGAGATATAAATGATGAACTGTTTAGAAGTGATGAATGCATGTACTCGCGCTTCGACTGATGGTTTGACAGCCAAGTGTTGCAAACAAGCATGCCTTATTCTGATCTGAAAACATCTTCATACTCACATGACTATAACCTCATCCACATGTTCATAGTGCTTGGTATTTACAATGGCACATATCGTTCCTATTTTCACGAAGTGACGATAGTGAGGAAAATCCGCACACAAATTGTCACTTCGTGAAAATAGGGACGATATAAATCATGTTCAGGGACCCGTTTTACAAAGCTTTTTTTCAATGACGATTAACAAAAATCAGTGACAAATCTGCTGATAACCAATCAGAAGCAAGGATTTCACTAGCTTATAACAGAAACTGTCATTCGGCACTGATGACAAGTTTTGTGAAACACCTCCCTGTTCATTGCGAGCTGTAAGTTAATTCTTCCACGTGTTTTGTTTTCCTGCACAGAATGGTGTACTGCTGAGGATGGTGTTGGACTCGGTGACCGGTGATCTTTCAGATACGAGAACGAGATACCTTGGATCAAGACCTGTGAAACTCTTCAGGATTAACATGCAGGGATCGGAAGCTGTAAGTACTTTGTTTTCAGGGTTCTAGATTTGAATTCACCCTCTAGGTTGCGTAGATATTATGCTTAAAGCCCCACTGCACTACTTATAGCTGCTTGCACCATCTATACAGCAAACAATGCCTTATCGGTGCCTGTTGGTCCCCATGATCCCCTTTTGCTTATGGTAATCGAGAGCTGATTTGATGAGATCACCACAGATACTGTCTCCTTCTAAAGTTGTATGTCGAAGTGAAACAAATTGATACAATGTGGGTGTTAGGGTTAGGGTTACCAAAGCTCTTCTCAAAGGATTTTAATTTCCACAAACTCCAAGTAATAATGCTTGCAAGAACTAAACCTACCAGTAGCTTATGTTGAGAGAAGTGTGTGCAGCAATGATGTCTTATATATCTGTTTTAATTCCATATATCACTGTGATGACTACTATCACTGCGGAGCTGCACTACTTTATCCAACAAGGCAGTTGGTATCCAAAAATATGTATCCCTATGTATTCCTTGTGATATTTGATTTATCATTGATAAATGTTATCGCTGGAAACATTAGTCTTAACTGACCATGTGTAACCATACTGTATGAATGTTGTCAATATATTGTTTGTTCCTCGTTCCAGGTGCTTGCTATGTCCAGTCGATCGTGGCTGAGTTACTGGTACCAGTCTCGGTTCCATCTCACACCCCTGTCATACGAGACCCTAGAGTTTGCCTCTGGATTCGCTTCAGAGCAGTGTCCTGAAGGCATTGTCGCCATCTCCACAAACACCCTCAGGTTTGTCAGACGTATATAGTGGCTACCCAAGATTAGTTATTAGACATTTCGATAACATGAATGGTGCTCCTTTAGCAGAGAGTTATAGATGGAGATAATTTAATTTTCAAGAAATTTAACCACAAGGAGAAAGAAAATTATCAAAAGGCTTTTATTAATAGGAAGAATGGAGAACATGGTAACCATTGAGTAATGCACGTTTTGGGAGTCTGTCAAACATGGATGGATGAGTGGGTTAAGACTAGATTTCATTAAGTTTCTCACTGAAGTCTGTGCACAGCAATGATGCAATATATATCTGTCAATCCACTGATCACAGTTTGATGACAATATCACTCACTACTTTCTGAGTTGTGCCGGACATTGTTATGTGAGATGAGAGCCTTTTCTAATAGCCTCGAGGAGCTCTTATTGATAGATTCTATGAGGGGGCCATAGTGATGAGGTCACTTTCCTTAAATCATAGTGAGAAATGGGGAGATTTTTAACCTACATTGAAAATATCGTCGCTGTTTTCACGAAGTGACGGTAGTGAAAAAAAATTGCATTCACTTTGCGTTACGATTTTCCTCACTACCGTCACTTCGTGAAAATAGGGACGATATTACTCTTTGACAATATAGAACTTGGTCGACAGTCTGATTATGTAGTTATTACCATTCATGAAGGGATTTGGAATTCATGAGTGATAAAGTTAAAGTGATATCAGATTTGTAATATAAGTATTAAGTTTACACAATTGCCGCCATGCCATGGGAATGTGATGTCCTGTACTTTTTCAACATATTACGAAATAGTAGCACTATTATTATACAGTCAAACCTGCTTTAGTGATCACTTGTCTACAAAGACCACATTTTTTGTTTCCCTTGAAAATGGTTTCTCATTGAAACATGTACTATATGAACCTGTCTACAAAGACCACTTTCTGTGTTTCTCTTGGCGGTCGCTATAGACAGGTTTGACTGTAGTTTCGGAATGATAGCTTATTCACAATTCATATGTGTTGTTTCGTCCTGTAGGATTTTGGCTTTGGAGAAGCTAGGAGCAGTCTTCAATCAGGTTTCCACGCAACTGAAATACACACCCAGGAAGTTTGCTGTTCACCTTGAGAATAATAACATTGTTGTCATCGAGACGGACCATAACACATACACAGACTCTACCAAAGCACAGAGGAAACAACAAATGGCCGAGGTTAGTCTATTTTTATTGTCTATTCAATTTTGGTTAAAATGTATTTAGTACTTTATTTGGGTTTGATTGGGAAGGGTGGTTATATCAAGCAGTAGTTAATAAATATCAGATTAACCCTACGTTAACTGGGGGGGGGGGTCAATTTGACCCCCCCCCCCCCCCTGTAGAAATTTCGCGACTACTCCGAAACCGCGGCAGATATAAAATTTTCCTCTCATGACTTTTTACTTTTGAGTCTTACGCATCTTTTAAAACAATTTTTTTGAAAATCGGACCTACGGTTACAAGGTCGCGTGACCTTTTGTCTTTGCATGTCAGCCCGAAAATCGCTCATTTTCGTGATTTGTGTACAAAACATATATGTAAAAGTCATTTTTCCTAAAAATAGATAAAACATTGGTTATTCAGTCTTGTTTAAAGTTTAGATGTTTGTCTTGGGGTCAAAATAGTTGAATTGTAGTTATAAATGAAATAAAACAACAAAAACAATAAAATACATAAGTTAAAAAAAACAATGAAATACATAAGAAATTATAAAAACAAGAGATAACATAAGGAATAACCTGGCTCTTCCAACTTTTTGTGTTGTATTATTATTCCAAATGGTCTAATAAATATATGTAGTGAAAAAGAATACTTAAATATGAATAATCTATGATTTATGGGCCGAAATGTGAATTTTATGACCGTATTTGCATAAATTACCATAAATATGCAAATGAGTGAATTTTTCAAAAATTTGAAATTACCATTGTATTCTATACACTTCACTTGACATGCATGCAAATTTTCGCTGCGATCGGCGGTGAAACGGCCGAGATCTTAGGGGGGGTCAAATTGACCCCCCCCCCCCCCCCCAGTAAAAACCTGGTCTGAAATAGCCCAGTTAAAATAGGGTTAAATTGGTCAATGATGAATAACTACAAGCATATGTCTGAATTTCATTTGAATGACATACTGGATCCTGAGACCAATCCAAACATGCTTTAGAATGATATAGATAGCCATTCATTTTGCAGGCTGAGCCATTTGTGCTCTTATTTATGAGAAAGTATCAAAATAATTATGTCTGCAAAGTATACTGTATTGAAAACAGCATTAGGATTATACACAGAAAATGCAGGCGTCATTCAGATAAGAAATGAAAGTTATCACTATGGGAAATAGATAATCATAATATAATTGGTTCTTTTGTGAATTCTTAACTTTTATTAAAGCGGGACTGCACTACTTGTAGCTACTTGCGCTCTCTATATAGCCAAAAATGCCTAAGCGGTACCTGTTGATCCCCTTGGTCCTCTTTTTCTTATGTCAATTGAGAGCTGATTTGATGAGATAACCACCTGTCCGTGACCACGCAGGGAGGTCTAATCCCTCCTGGCCAAACTAGTGCAGATAGGCTTTAAGACGGTCAGTTTTATAATGCCAGTGCTCTTCTTTGTGTAGGAAATGGTTGAAGCAGCTGGCGAGGAGGAGAAGGAGCTAGCAGCTGAGATGGCAGAAGCTTTCCTCCAGGAGGAGCTACCCGAGTCTACCTTCAGCTCCCCCAAGGCTGGATCAGGGATGTGGGCCTCTACGATCAGGCTCCTGAATCCGGTCCAAGGACAGACCTTAGACATGGTGGAGCTAGAACAGAATGAAGCTGCATTCAGGTAAGGACTCGTAAAAGTCACGCTGTGTTATTGGTAGTAAGATTTATGTTGGGGTAGAATCTACTTCCAGGTCTTGTAAGCTGGATCAGGGATGTAGCCCTCCACTATTAGGGCTTAACCTGCATACATGCCAACCGTTCCGATTTTAACGGAACTGTTCCGTTTTTGAAGTTTTTATAGCCCTAAAAAACGGAACGTTCCGATTTTGGGGAATATGGCTTTCCATACATAGCATTGATCCGATCGAGTGTCGAACGGTTTGCATTGCGCAAGGTGCGTGCAGCGTGCACTGATATGTACGTACAGTGGCAGCGTGTTGCTGCGCGCCACGTGCACTCTGATATGTGTTTCCGTACGTAACATTTCCGTACGTAAATACTTGCGCTGGCAAATCTCGTAAGTATAATTTCTATACGTTTGCATGCGCATATCAGCATGCATGCATTCGCTATCGCGGCTAGCGCACCGTATATGCATAGGGTCCCCATGCAAAGTACGTGTTTCAAGGTACCGTATACTTTGTGATTTGTGATTTGTCTTGGAAGAAAATCTGTCAAAATGAGCGGAACAGCAGCAAGACGAATTCAGAAGTACAAACAGGAATACAAGGAACGATTTCCCTTTATTAGAGCAAGCACAAAAGGGGAGGAATATGCATACTGCATTTATTGTCGGCAAGATGTCTTGTTCTGCTGACATTGATTTTGACAACCTCATTTACATGTAGCTCAATGAGTTACAATAATTTTGGATTGTTGACTGTTAATTGTCTGGAAAGTTGAATACCATTATTGCCAGTCTCATTTTATGCATAGATCTATGTCATGTATAATTATTTAAAAAGTAACTAGACTTAAATGCATCACTCTGCATGAGTGGCTAATTAAATCTATGTCTATTATCTGCTCTGCCTCTGCCAAGGATAAATTAAAATGTGGAATTCACTTCAATCACTTTTTTGTTTGGTATGACACAAAAATTACCCATAAACTTGGGTTGAATTTTAGGGGAAATGGTCCCTAAAATAGGCTCAGATTGCACCAGAGAGCATCTGGAAACCCAGAGCTTCCAGGGCCCTAAAGCGGGCCCTGTACCCCGGCTAAAAGGACTTCGTGCTCGTGATGTGCGTTTCGCGACCATGATGTGCGCTTCGCGCACATAGTGTACAGATTTCTGATTTTCAAATGTTGGCATGTATGAACCTGGTTCAGGGACAGACCTGAGATATGGTGGAGCTTGAACAGAATAAAACTGCATTCAATTAGGGACTAATATAACAGAAAAAAATTATGTGCACTTGGTGAAGTTATTCCCTATTCATTAAATAAAGTAAAATACTTCGATGTATGTAAAGAGAGGGAGGATGTTGTAAAATGAACATAAAATTGGCATTGGTCTAACCATATTGGACTAGATTTCATGAAGTTATCCACTGTAGTCTGTGCACAGCAATGATGCAATATATATCTGTCAATCCACTGATCACTGGTTGATGACAATATCACTCACTACTTTCTGAGTTGTGCCAGACATTGTTATGTGAGATGAGAGCCCTTACAATTAGCTTCTAGGAGCTCTTATTGGTAGATTCCGTGAGAGGGCAAAAGTATTCCGTTCACTTTGCTTCAATTATAGTGAAAAATGGGAGAATTTTCAAATTTGTGATAGACAGTTCAGAGGGTATAGGAGAATGAATGAGAAGGAATGAGAAATTGGCATCGGTCTAACCACAATTCTCTTTTTATCTGTTTCATCTTCTTATTTAGTCTTGCATTGGTGAAGTTTGCCAATCGTGAAGACGAGACCCACGTCTTGGTGGGGACAGCCAAAGATGTGACGTTGAGTCCTAGGACCTGCTCTGGTGGTGCTATACACACGTACCTACTTACAGAGGAGGGCAAGAAGCTTGAGTTCTTACACAAGGTAAGTGACATGCAAAAGGATTTGACTTCTGGTTGGTCTTCCGGAGGGCAAGAAGCGCTTCTCCTTGGTGGCAGTTCTTGCTGAATGTTTAAGAGCAATCTATGCAATCTTGAAAGGAAGTGATAGGTGCTGGTAATTTATGTAGGTGTAGAGGGTAGATCTCTTTAGGAAGTAGGTGGAAATGGACGTGAAATATTATTATGACTTACAAGAAATGTGACTTTTTCATTTATGATGGCACACTGTACGTTATCCGTATTGGCCTGTGAAGCTAAAGAAAGAAATGTGCCTTTTCATTTATAATTACACACTATGTTATCTGTATTGAGAATTTCCTAGTCATATCTTTGTATAAAGGGTTACACATGGATGCATTAAGTTTACTGATACATTAAATTCAATAAAATGTCTTGGCGGGTTATGACGATAGTGTTAGAGCGTGATACTTGCAAGGTATCTAAAATGAGACAAACGATGTGGTCAATGATGCTAAACAAGCATATGTCTGAACTTAAGTTGAATGACACATTGGATACTGAGACCATATAATACCCCCCCCCCCCCCCCCTCACCATAAAACCTCAATAGGTTGGTCATTCAATATATTTCATGTAGTCCATCCTGTTTGCTTTGATGTATTGCAGACTCTTGTGGACGATGTACCATCATCAATCGCTGCATTCCAAGGAAGGGTTCTCATTGGAATTGGAAGACTGCTGAGGATTTATGATCTCGGCAAGAAGAAACTACTCAGAAAATGTGAAAACAAGGTTTGTTCCTATCAAATAAATTGCTTATTGCTAATACTGATTTAATTTTTATATTTTTTAAATTTATGGGTCAACTGTTAGATATGAGAATCTGCCTAACATTCACTAATGACATATTTGAAATATATGTGTAATGAAAATGGGTCCATCCCCTTTGGTACTATTTATCGTAGCTATTTTAACTTTTATTGCAACATGTGGTAACTCTGACGACCATCCCTCATTGCCGATTTAATCATTGTTGAATTTCAAATTACGTTGATGTGTAAGAGATAAAAAAGAGAACCAACATAAAAGGGAGGGAACTTTGTTAATGAAATATTTTTTTTATTTTTTAAAATCTTTTTCTTTTAAATCAATTTTGTTGGTGATTCAGCCATTATTTTGTGTGTACGTGAGTTTGCCAAGTGGCAATGGAGAATTTCTTTAAGCAGGTTACTACACAAAAATTGTAATATTTGTCATATTTGATGTCTCACGTAGCTCCTACTCTGACTAAGAGACATGAATTTAACTTAATTTTTGGCACTGCATGGCAATGATGTCTTAATATCTGTCAATCCCCTGAAATTCAATTGTTGACAACTACACTCACAAATTCTGAGCTATGCAGTGATCATATGATGTTCTGTACTCCTGTTAATAATAATAATAATAATAATAATAATAGGAGGTTCTTATATATCGCTCATGTCTGTCATACGTGACACTCCTGGCGTTTCCAAATATTACCCTGGCTTGAAAATGTAAAACCATCAATATCAGATAAAATTGTGACCCTTTCTCTGCCATTGATGGCAAATTATGACCAAGAATTAGAGTGATTCACTTTTTTTTTTTTTTTTACAGCACATTCCAAACTTCATCACCAACATCCTGACGACAGGTAACCGTGTCATCATCAGCGATGTCCAGGAGAGTCTTCACTTCCTCAAGTACAAGAGACAGGAGAATCAGATGGTCATCTTTGCGGACGATAGTAACCCTCGTTGGATCACAGCCACGTGCCTTCTGGACCATGACACCGTCATGTGTGCGGACAAGTTTGGCAACATCACCGTGGTGAGTGAATTAAAATTGGCGTTCTATGTATATGCGAGAGAACTCCACTTTGCTTCATGGCTATCGCCAATTTTACAGTCGATAGTTTGTCTTGCGTTTGGTTTGATACATACATTGATCCAAGAGCAAAAGATTCTGTAAAATTTAGAATGACCCCCAACTTTCAATGATTGTTCAAGTGAGAGATGAATAGTATCAGCTGGACCATGATACTTTTCATGTTTGCAGATAAGTTCTGAAATTTTAGAGTGGTGAGAGAATTCATTCATTTCTTAGCTAGAGTTCCATACCTAAGTCTATGAAATTGGCACCTGGCTAACAATAGACCAAACAATAAATGACATTACTTTGATGGCCAAGAATTGTTTGTTTGTTGTTGTTTTTTTTGTGGTGTTACTGGGTTATTATTCTAGCAGGGATATGAGGGCAAATTCCATTCCAAATTATTCCAGTAACGAGACAAGGCAGGAATATCTCCCTTATGTAAAGTGTGCATCTTTAGTGTTCTTTGCTTGTAATTGAAGATATCTGACTCTGTGACATGAATTTACTTAAATTTATTTGCTACAAGGTTATTTTTCACTGCATGGCAATGATGTCTTTATATCTGTCAATCCCCTGAAATTCAATTGTTGACAACTACACTCACAAATTCTGAGCTATGCAGTGATCATATCTTGTACTGTACTCCTGTTGATATTCATACTCTACTTAAAAACCATCAATATGAGATGAAATTGTACCTCTTCCTCTGCCATTGGTGGCAAATTATGACCAAGAATTGGAGTGATGGAAAAATGGCTACAATGTTATACTTGAAACAGAAACTGGTACTCTCATTATAAAGTTTATTTCTATTTAAGAGATTTTGTTACAATGAAGCTGAGTATTATCATGTAAAAATAAACTCTTGAAAGTTCATCTTATGTCGGTTCAAAACCATAGTGGGAACAGAAGGGTTAATAGCTCACTATGTTGTTTCTGAATTCTCCACTGTCCTACAGCTGAGGTTACCCACGAGCGTCAACGACAACCTTGACGAGGATCCGACGGGAGTCAAGGCACTCTGGGACCGCGGCCTTCTCAACGGAGCATCCCAGAAGACCGATGTGGTGTCCAGCTTCTTCATCGGTGAGACAGTGCTGTCTCTGCAGAAGGCCACACTGATTCCTGGAGGTTCAGAGTCTGTGGTGTACACCACTCTGTCTGGGGCCATCGGGGTCCTGGTGCCATTCACTGCGCATGAGGTAGGTTTGGATGTTAGGCCATGGAATACAGTCTGATCCAATACTGGACAGATTTAGTTAGAATCTCATTTAGGGCTACATAATAGACATTAACCACTGTTGCTGTGTTGCAGCTTCCTGTCAATTTTAAGTGTAAACATTTAAATGGTTGGGCATTGATAAACCTTGCAGACTTGGGTAAAAATACCAAATTGGTTTAAATTGGAGTATCTTATGATAAGTTTGGATAGTGCACAAATTTGTTACCAGATGTGAATTTTTAAATGCCACAATGTCAGCATTTCTTGAATCTGTTAAAATTGTTCTCTGCACTTCAGCTATTCTGGTTGAAGTTATTACTGTCTGCAAAGATCTTTGAAGAGGAATATCAAGAAGTAATCAGAATGTTTTGATTAAATCCTGCATGGCAATGATGTCTTAATATCTGTCAATCCCCTGAAATTCAATTGTTGACAACTATACTCACAAGTTCTGAGCTATGCAGTTATCAAATCATGTCCTGTACTCCTGTTAATGTTCATACTCTCCTTGGAGAAATCCTTGAAAATGTAAAACCATTAATATCAGATAAAATTGTAACCCTTTCTCTGCCATTTTACCTGAGAGTTATGAGCTGTGTAAATATTCACATTGTTTGGAATATCCTTATATAATGTAAAAAGTATCTTGGGTCAAAATGCGAAACCAACATGAAGTGCCATTGACAAAGAAACACAATCATAGGATGAAATATATCCCCCTACAGTACAGTAGGGTTTAAAAGAGGTTTCAGACTAAATTGTAGAATAAGTACATATTTTCCTTTTTTTTCCCTTCAGGATCATGACTTCTTCCAGCATCTTGAGATGCACATGAGATCAGAATATGCACCACTCTGTGGAAGGGACCATCTCTCGTACAGATCCTACTACTATCCAGTCAAGGTAAACTTGTTGATATTATTGTAAAGTAAAATATCTTAAGGTGGCATATTTGAGATAGTGTGTAGAGAATTATCTGATGCATAATTTTCAAATGGTGTTCCCCAAATCAATGACACATTTTTGTTAAACTTTTTTTCTTCATATAATACTTACGTGTTGATATATGTAAATGATTAAAAAATGTTGGGGTTGTACCTATCATTTTTCAGGGCCAACTAACCATGTCAAAAGATTATGTTAACAAGTTATACATTGGGAGGTTATTTTCTTTGAAGAAATTTAAACACAAGGAGAAAGAAATCAATAAAATGAAATGAGAAAGTGGTAACCATAGAATAATAAAGATGTCGAGAGTCCGTCAAAGATTCCTAGATGAATGAGTGGGTTTAGACTAGATTTCATTAATTTACTCACCGTAGTCTGTGCACAGCAATGATGCAATATATATCTGTCAATCCACTGATCACTGGTTGATGACAATATCACTCACTACTTTCTGAGTTGTGCCAGACATAATTATGTGAGACAAGAGCTTTTAATAGCTTCTAGGAGTTCTAGATAGATTCTGTGAGAGGGCTACATTTCGAAAGGTCGCACCTATCGCTTCCAGGGCCAATTAACCATGTCACAGGAATACCTGGTGTGACTGCTAACCATGTTCATATCTATCATCACCATGGAAGCCTTCAAAGATTACATACTAATTATTTCATTGTTCTTGTATTTTCAGAATGTGATTGATGGTGATCTGTGTGAACAGTACAACTCTATGGAACTTTCTAAACAGAGGACTGTGGCTGAAGAACTTGATAGGAATCCTAGTGAGGTAAGTACTATCCAACTATTCCATCATTTCAACTCATGGCACTTATTGTCATGAATTTACCTACATTTGTCAGCTACAGTTGGGAGGTTATTTTTCACTGCATGGCAATGATGTCTTAATATCTGTCAATCCCCTGAAATTCAAGTGTTGACAACTACACTCACAAATTCTGAGCTATGCAGTGATCATATCATGTTCTGTACTCCTGTTAATGTTCATACTCTACTTGGGAAAATCCTTGAAAATGTAAAATGCCAATAAGACAGAAAGTTTTGGGAATCAGCCCAAAACTTTACCTTGGATATTAAAATCATTCAAAACTTCTGATGACATGCCTTTATTTTGTAGGGTATATAACAATGCCACAGAGTATATTTGTTTCAAAATTTTCTGATAATGCATCACCTGAATTTGATTAAACTCTGGTGTTGCTAGATGATGCTGTTGATTGTGAATCCATCATATTCAAAAGATTTTTACAGGATTTGATTAAGACTGCATAATAGATAAATTAGCTTTGTGCATAGAAATTTCTTAATCTTTGTTTTACAAGTGTCTTCTGAATTGAATTGAAATGAAAGTTATTTCTTGTGTGTTCATTTCCTTATCCAGTGTATTAATAGTTGCTTTCTCTTATTTTCTGTCCTGTCAAGGTTTCAAAAAAGCTGGAAGACATCAGGACAAGATTTGCCTTCTAAGCACAGGACCCTACAAAAACTTTATAGACTCTCTGAACGGCAAAAAAAAACATACTGAGCTTGAGAGAAAGTGAACATTGAGATTGTTTGCTGGCTGGCCCGGCCTTCCATGATAAATGATCCTACATGTCTAAGTTGTGATAGCTATACAACTTGATCTGCAGTCGGGAAATCCATTCAGCTGTTACAGATCTATAGCAATGAAAATGATGATCAACAGAAAAGTCTTTGTTTGCTACCTCTGTTATGGCTGGACTTACCGAGAGCAAAATGCAGTGAACAGTTAGCGGACTTCCACAGTCCCACATTATTGCAAATCGTGTGAGGAAACTAACTGACTTATACTAGAATATGAAGCAAGCAATATGAAGTTTACATTTTCAGTTGTTATGAAATGGACCCTGTGTATTCATATCGAGGATTGTTGTGGCTGGACTACAGATGTAAAGGTGTTTTAGGCGAGTGGTATAATCCCATGACTGGCAATGCAAAGGTCATGGGTTCGAGCCCCGGCACGCCCACCTACATCCTTGAGCAAGGCATTTCATCCATATTGCTCCTCTTCACCCAGGTGCTAAATGGATACCTGGTAGGATGTGAAGGGCAATGTGATTGGATAAGGATGTGTACAAAGGCAACTGGCCAGAGTGAAGAATGTGCATTGTAATGTGCGGAATAGTAATTGAATCCCTTGACCAGGATAATAGTAACACTGTAAGTGCTTCGTTCTGTTGTATGTAACTGGTAAAGTGCTTTTATAAGAACGGTCAGTTGTTTGTAACTGGTAAAGTGCTTCCATATGAAACGGTTATTATTATTACTACAGGGAGCAAAATTTAGAGAACAATTTGTAGACTTCTGCAGTCCCACATCATTGCAAGTCACTATCATGTGTACATCTACAGTTGACATTGACTCTGTTTATTCAAATAGAGTAACTGATCCTAACATGAAGTGCCTACCACTAGAGTTTTATAATCAATGACTTTAAAAACATTTCGCTGAAATAAGATGTCTGTTAAATGAGGAAATGTCTCTGTTTCCCAATTTTGTCCAGTTATTTTAGGGGAAAGATGTAATTCTCCCCACCCCCCGTTTTTGTTCTTTACCAATGTTTTTGATTATGTGGCCATGGGATTGATCTGGTTCTTGAATATAAACAGTTTTGATTCTGTGTTTCAAAATAAAGTTATGACGTCATATTTTGCATGATTCAGTTGTTTGTTGGAAATGCAACGATTAGATAAGAGTGACTATTTATTCATATCTATTTCTGACCAGAAAAACGCATCAACATTCCAATTTTTATGAACAATATGTTTACTTAAAGCATGTGTAAGGTCTAAAGTCCCACAACATACATCTTCAGTAGAGTCAGGTTACTGTTTGTATATCTAGTTTAACGGAAGCCGCTGTGATAAGAATTTGACAGTCTTCACCAAAAGTATGTCAGTGTGTCAGATTATTGCACCTGAAGTTCATTCAAAGCAACGGAGCACCTCTTGCAAAGACTTGCGATAGGATCTTTATTTGTCAAGTGCTCAGTGTTTCAAGTATTTATGTTTGCAACTGACAGTGGACTTTGCTTTGTGACAATACATTTCAAACTTGTTAAGGTCGGTATCCACTGCTATTGTTTGCCCAGCTTCTATATCTGGTCAATGTACAATTGATTTAGAGTATTCCATAGTGCAGGGTGCAACACGACTGACAAGTAACTGAATGAATTGATTTTGACGTAGGAACTGCACTTTTGGTATTTGTTTACATGTGACAGATTTAGTCGGACAAATATTCTGATGTTAAGTACTCTGATAACATCAAATGTTAAAAACAAGTCAAACTTTTACTTTGCTGAGCTTGCAAAGTTGCAGCATTTCATGTCCACCACGGGACACTGGTATTTGGCGGCAAATCTTTGTTGATGAAGGGTCCTGAAGAAGACATGAAATGTTGCAAGCTAAACCAAAGTAAGTCCAGGGACCCATTTCACAAAAATTGTCATCAGTTATAAGCTAGTGAAATCCTTGCTTCTGATTGGTTATCAGCAGATTTGTCACTGATTTTTGTCATTTGTCATTGAACAAAGGCTTTAAGAAGTGGGTCCCAGGTGACTTGTTATAACATTCAATCTTATTGATCTACTACCAGGATGATTGGCAATATTCATAGACAATCAACATATAAATTAATCCAGGGGGGTGTTTCACAAAGATCCTAAGTAGAACTTAACTCTAAGTTGGACTTAAAAATTATGGAAAGCCATTAGCATCTTTGAAAATATTTGGTAAAAATATTTTTGAAAGGCATAAAATGTTTATTCAAATCATTCATATTTTCTATCATCAAGGAGATTTCATGTTCTGGATGTGGAATTTATAAAAAGTCTAAAATACTTGAATTTCTGCTTTTGAATATATTTCATTTTAAGACTCCAATGGCTGTCCATATTTTTTAAGTCCAACTTAGAGTTAAGTTCTACTTAGGATCTTTGTGACACACCCCCCAGTTTTCTAACGGTCTATTTTGAGCACCTCTTTATATGAAGCCATGCAATAAACTTATGAAACCATAAACTTTTGTAAACAGTCGAGAACCACACAAGTTTCATCTCATTAATCAATTTGAATACCGGTAAGGCACATGAATTAAACAATCTGTTAAAGTTTATTGCTGCAAAAATGGCTATAATGCAAATTTCTGTTTTGCATTAGTAAATGTTAACATCGATGTTAAGAAGGTCACTGTTGGAATTGTGTGTTAACACTGAAATATATGCTGGTAGTGTAAATCCAAGTGGCTATGTCTCAACTTAGACTAAACATCATTGACGCATCAAGAATTTCTTGTTTGTATTAGTGAATGTAAACATCAATGTTAGCATCAATGTTAGCAAGGTCACTGTTGAAATTGTATCTGTCGTGTCAGGTGTGGCTTGCGTGTGTTCACACAGTAATAAATGCTGGTAGTGTGATTGTCCCACTGACTATGACTCACCTTGGAATAAACAGCTTCATGAGGGTGATGCAAACATGCCCTACATTTATTGTCAGATAAATATACTGGTATGTTTCACTTGGCTGTTTCTTACGATCTGCTAATTTCATAGCCGCTGATGTTGAATCACATACAATTATTTCGACGGAGAGCAAAATTCTTGATGTTGCTGAATGGTTTAGGGGTGTTTATTGCTTTTTTTTATTTTTCTGAACAGAATCAAATTGATGTAAAATAGTAATAGTACTGTTTTCAATTTTATATAATAACCTCCAATTACTGACCATAATAAATGTTGTTAACTTATATCTCAGAGTTTATTTATTTTCAGAACATGGATCTACTACGAGGTAGGTCCATGGTCACAATCAGTTGAAGTTGAAAAACTTATTTTTCTAATTCAACATTTTAAGTTGAACCCCTTCAGGCTTCAGGACTGTTGTCAGAAATACCTCTTGTGTCTAAACTATGTGGTCCATGGTAGAACTTTGCTTACACATTGCCACCAGGAATATCCTTTGTCAATTTTCTATTGCATTTTATCTAGACATTTTGGGACACTCGTGTTATGGTGTTTTTTTTCTTCAAACAAAAAAAATATCCAATCTGGCACTAGACATCATGATATGGAAGCTGAAAGGTCATTGATATGACCTTTGACCTTTGTCAACATTTTAGACAATGTGATGGATATTGTGAATATTGTACATTTATGTAAAGAAATTAATGATTTTTGTAGCCATCATGTTTGAGATATGTTCATTTTGTACTAAAAGATCCATTATTCCTGCATTTATTTCAAATTGCTGGAAATAAAAATGTGTATGATGATGTAAATATTTGATTGTCATAGAAATGTGAAATAAAATTTTGTTACAAAATAGCTACAGCAACAAATGTGCATAATTTTGTTCGCAGGTGTTTCGGTATGTGTGTAACAAGGAACATGAGTGTGCATGAAACTAAGATAAAAGATCGAATTACAAGCATTTCAGAGATGGAAAATTTGCAGCACAGACATAAGCATATGGAAAATAGTATTGAACCAAGAGCTGTAGAAAGTAGAGAGTATGAAATGAATATGTGGGAATCTTGCAATGATTTCACTTTCTTTTTCTATGATATATATATATATATTAAGCAAATAATTATCGTTGGTGAAGGTGTTGGGACAAACTATCACTCCAGAGGCGATCTGGATGTAGCTATCTCTCTGAAGCGAAGCTGAGGAAAGAAGACGTATACATTCAGATCGCCGACGAAGTGATAGTGTGCCATCACCTGAAACCAAAAGGTGATTATTTGCTTTATATTCCACATCGGAAACATTTCACTTCTTCCGTCATTTTAGAGCAACAAATCACCAATTAACAGCTAGCAAACGGTGTACGCTAAGTACAGTGCATGCAGTACTTACATACGTAACGTATACAGGAAAGTGCAACAAACTTTTCTTCTCCCATCAATGATAGGCGAACTATCTTTCATCACATGATTTACTTTTGACCAATCGTAGTGCAAGATTCTTTGTATGTGGAATATAAATATAAATATTTTGAGAGAGGAAAGTTTATAAAGAGGCCAGTAGTAGATAGTTTGAATTTACATTGTTCTAAGGTCAAGGAAGTGATAGTTGAAGGAAGGAAGGAAATAGAGAAAGAGAAATGGATAGAGAGAGAAGAGAGAGGTTTTGTTTTTAGCTTATATTAAAGCTTATCTGCCATAGTTTACAGGAGGGATTAGACCGCCCTACAAGGTCAATGGACATGTGGTTATCTCATCGACTCAGCTCTCAGTTAACATAAGAAAAAGAGGATCATGGGGGACCAATGGTCACCGATTAAGCATTGTTTGTTATATAGAGGGCGCAAGTAGCTACAAGTAGTGCAGTGGGCCTTTAAAGGCATCGTTTACCAATGTTAAATCTGAGATGCACGGCCCTACGTGTTATCAATGTTTGTGATGTATAATATTGAAGCCCTAAAAAAAAATTGCGGTTCGAAATGAATAAGAAGTGCCTCAAAAAAGTAAAAATCTTTGAGTGACCGATTTTACCATAGTCATTTTCCCTGATAAACTGTAGTGTTATGAAAACCGTTGAGGAAACGCAAAATTTGGTTTCGATTTACAATCATAAATGTCTTGATATTCAGACAGACAATCGGCTTGTAAAATTCTTGGGGTTCCTGACTGACATAAAGGTTTATAATTATCATTGCAGCATGAGCTAAATCCAGGATTTTGTTTCAAAATCTGAGACAAAATTACTGGATCCCTTTAAGAGAAGAAAAGGTTGGAATACTGGATGGAAATGGCCAATACAATATTTATGGCACATGTATAACAATCATGTCATAATACTTCAACAAATCACATTAATTTTAGTGATATTACACAGACCATTTCTTAAAACTTACAGCCCTTTCTCCCCCCCCCCCCCATAAATACATGTATTGCAAAATGTTAGAAAGGAGAATTGAATGTAACTTTACATTAAAGATCTAAGATGAAATCAAATTGCAGTAGAGCAGTTTATTGTGAGAAACCCCAAATCAAGACTATTTAAATGTTCTGCCTGAAATATTGCAAGTTAGAAATTAATAATACTTTTTTTTAAAGAATTAGTCCAAATTCTATGCTCTGTTTCTAGTAGTTTGCGACTGCATTACTTTAATTTTCTATTAGTAGTGATGTTGTACATGCCTATAGTAGTGTAAACATTTTACACATCAAATAGAATTGAATTAAATTGAATTTTTTCAATTTGGTAAAAACTCACTTTCAGCAAGTCTGTGTAAAAAGCATAAAACAGATCATATAGACACTAAAAATGAATATAAATACATGGGAAAAGCTACATATATAACACAAAATTAAATTAAAAAGCTAGCACAACAAATAAAAAAATAACAAGCATAAAGATATATGATATAAAAAAGTTTCATATGAATAGATTAGGAAGGAAAAAATTTAAGTAAAAAGTTAACATATTAAATGTATATAAGTGTCATTTGAATTAATAGGCATAGGGGAAGAGTAAAATGGGGTAGGATGAGCAAAGAACAAAGAAAGAGAAAGAATGTGAGAAAAGGAGGAGAATGTATAATCATATCTTTAACTTTATCTTTTTATTGCCATCATAGTTTCTCAATGTAAATAGAAAAAAAATGCAATGACATTTATCAATATTTACATTTACCTAATTTTACAATGGTAGGTAAAATAAGTGTTAATAACATATACCGGATAAATATCAAAGATCTCACAAAAAAAGTACAAGAACACTTTTTTACATGCCCTCTTCCGTCGATGTATATGTAGTGTCCGAGTTGATTTTGTCAACAGCGATGCGATTGGACAATTTACGACCTTTCCACGAGAGTCCACCAATGGCAAACCCGATCTAGTGCACCATACCGGTACTTTATCAATACAGGATCGTACTTTTCTGTAGCGCTGTGTGTGTAGTACCGGTACGGTATCTGTGTACAAAACAAACCGCTAATTCGTGATTGGGTTTTCTGTATGTGTTTTGTGGACCTGCTGGAACGTAAGACCTAAAAGACAGCGGTAGCAATCTACTTGTTTCGGACAAAAACTGTTTGTTTCGAAGTAGGAGAGTGACCACAAAGCATGACTTGAACACCAGATAGGTAAGACCCTATCTCCACATTTTTCCATCTTCCTCCCGCACCATGAGTGGGTCATTTTTCAAGCACAATCATGACCCGAAAATCGTCGGTTCGTACGACTTGGAGGAGACACTCGGACGGGGCCACTTCGCGATCGTCAAGCTCGCTCGCCATATCTTCACGGGTGAAAAGGTAGCAGTCAAGGTGATTGATAAATTGAAACTCGATGCTGTATCAAAGGCGCATCTATTTCAAGAAGTAAAATGCATGAAGCTAGTGCAACATCCCAATGTTGTACGGCTGTATGAGGTGATTGACACACAGACAAAATTGTACCTAATTCTGGAATTAGGAGATGGCGGGGACATGTACGATTACATCATGAAACATGAAAATGGTCTGGACGATGATATTGCTAGGACTTACTTTCGACAGATTGTGGAGGCCATCTCATATTGCCACAAACGGCGTGTTGTTCATCGGGATCTTAAGCCAGAAAATGTCATCTTTTTCAAGAAGCAAGGAGTCGTAAAGTTGACAGATTTTGGATTCAGTAATCGTTTCATGCCTGGAGAGAAGTTGGAAACCTCTTGTGGAAGTCTAGCATACTCGGCTCCAGAGATCCTACTCGGAGATTCCTACGATGCTCCTGCAGTTGGTAAGATAATCATTCAATATACAGTGTTGGTAGTGAAGAAAAAAGAAGAAAAGAAAATGAAACGGAAAGAAAGACAAAAAGAAAAAGAAAGAAAGAAAGAAAGAAAAAGAGAAGGAAGAGCTTTAAGAGATTTGCATTAAAACTTAAATTAGTTTACAATAATTGTGAATATTGTTTACGGTACATATTTTAAATTTTAGCCTGTAATATTAAATGATTTGTTGAGTACCGGTACAAAATTTGTGTCCAATTTAACAACAGATTTTATTATTATTTTTCTTCTTTCTGCATGAACACAGATCTTTATGTTGTCAAGTTCATGTACTGTACATGTACTTGTCCGTGATGTATGTAGTCAAGCTTTTCCATTAAGAAAAATGTTGGAAATAGTGGTAAAGTGTGACAAGATCAAAAATCTTTTGTTGGAATTTCTACATTTTTTCTTCATTTTATGAAAAAGCATCCAAAATGAATGTCCAAATAGCGAAAACCAATTGAATATGTTAAGTATTGGCTGAGATATGATCATCTGAATAAATAGATTTCCTATGGGAACTTAGTGTTAGATATTGCTCTGGTTCATAACATTACGGGCCAGAGCAATATAACACTGCGTTCCTATAGGACATTGAACTTTGAAAAGTTTAATTTTTAATTATGAAGGGTTTTGATTCGGAGTAAAGGATTCAATTTAACTATTGTTGTTGAAGGCTTCATCGTAAACTATCTCTGATATATTGGATAGATACATACATGTATCAAATTTTCAATCCACAAATTGTTCTTTCTGTTGAGACAAAAAGTTGGTGCTTGGTACACATGCATTGTACATGTAACATACAAAACCAAGTTAATATGACAGACCGCACTTTCTGGTCCATGTAGTACACTACTGTGTACAATGTCAACCTACACGTGTGTAACCCAAAACTTGCACACTATTTGAATTGAACTTGCCAGGTTTTAAAAAACTCGTAGAAACTAAGCTCCAGAGCAAGATACACTGTACATGTACATTGTACATGTATTACCGGTATACCATAATTTTTTTTTTTTTTTACTACACTTGTACATTGTACCTGAGTTCCAAATAAGGTTTTTTTTTCTTCTTCTTTTTCATTTGTTTGTTTTTGTTCTATGTTTTTCCTTTCTATTGTTCTTTAAAGTGAAGTCACAATTGAGTGGCCAAAAGGAGGGATGAAAATTCCTTTTCAATAAGCGTGATACATGTCCACCAAATTTTACAACAATTTTACGGTTGTTTCTCCTTTATAAATAAGTGTTTTCTTTTTATACGTGTACATGTACATATAATACAAGTTATCAAATAAAAAGTCATAAAACCTCACAAATGCACATGTACATATGTACTGGCTGTGTAGCCTGCATACGTGAAGGTTGTACTTGCACTCCCCATAAAACCCACATTCTACAGGGTACAGAACGGCCTATCCCCGTCTTCACAGTACACAAGCATGGCTCTGCCCACTAAGTTACTGCCCACACTCTACAACGTGCTCTGTTTGTGTTGCTATTAGACAGGACGATCTATAAATGGGACATCCTTTGATCTGTCGTTTGTTCCTTCTCTGACAGGGCGCAAATAAATGATTACATAATAGCATGCATCTAACTGTCCATGGCCTATTAAAACCCTTGCCAACAATGTGGTGTACAGTATACCTGGGAATGAGAGAAAAGCTGGTATAATAAAGATTGAGATGGCAATTGTTGGGGAGGTTGATCATGTTTTATGTGGCCTCTTACATGAAATGACCTATTGCCCAAGTGTGGAATTTTTTATCAAAGTGAGGTAAATGTCATAAAAGCAAGTTACTGGTATCTAAGTATTGAGTGATATAAAGGAAATCAATCTACCTGTACATGTGAAAGCATATGAGGGGTAACTGAAAAATTATGCCAACATACATGTACCTTGTATTGGTGTCTTGCTTGAATTTGTGTGACCATTTCTTATTCCACATGTCAAAAACTGCTTTCAAAACAAATTTCTCAATTAAAGAAAAAAGGATTACTAATCGTAGTTATTTAAAGCTCTGTGTGCCATTGTGTGACTGATCAATTGATCTTAGATATTGATTTTCCCACTGTCTTGGATAAAGAGTGTCTATAGTCTATTGCTCTTGAATAGCAGTTCCATGAATCCATGGCTTATCCCTTCTGACACCTCTACAGGTATACATGTACATCAGCGCCCTGTTTAATAAAACTAATTATCAATTACAACTGCTAAAGATCTATGACAAATCCGCTCATACTTCATAGCCGATCAAATGTAAGAATTTCAGTAGCTTATAACAATTTATCTATGTTATTGATAACTACGTTACCGGTAGTTTAATGAAACAGGACCCTGATGTGGTTCAATGAAGCTACAATTTTGTTGAATTCTGTGACTGAAAAGACATGAAAGGAAAAATGAGAGCATGACTCCAACAGGAAGTTACAGGAACAAATTGAATTGATTTTGGAAGACACCATAATATGCTTGGTTATGCACATCAGTGGAGTATGTGCCTAAATAAAGATTACAAACAAAAGTATGCCCCCAGTTCCTGTTTGTCCCAGGCTGTGGTAATAAGTGCTGAAAGAACTAGGGCATGAAATGACCTTTCATCTGGTATTGGGGTATGTTACTGATGATTTGATTTTGATGGAGACGGTGTGTGTTGCAGCTTGGCATGAGCATACATGTATGTACACGTGCATAGAATGACATTCAGAAGAAAGGTAAACAGAATAGGGTTTACCTTTCTACTGGTATCAGACCAAAGACATGTTATCCATCTCTGATCCAGATGACCAAGTGCGTTTTACATGCTAGCCTACACCATGTAGCAAACATACATGGAGATAATTAAATACTTGTTGCAAATTTTGAAGCATGTTTTCACTTTGCAAGTACATGAAAATATTTCTCAACAATATTTAGGGACACAAGTTTGGAATAACATCTTGAAGTTGAAGATTTATTACTTGTTTGACAGTTTCAGTTTTTTGTTATTGTTTTTCCTTCTGGGCTTGGTAATATGAAGTCTTTGATTTGTTTATTGATACATGTACATGTACATGTAGATAGTGGTTTCATAACCTGAAGGCTGAACTGAGAGTAATTTCCTGGAAATATATACTGTACTACCAGTACCTCATGTTGGAGGGCAGAGTTATGCTTGCAGCAATCTACATGCCAAAGCAAACAGGCATTTGATATTTGCAATAGAATTGAGAAATGAAATAATGAGAGAGAAAGAGAGATGATGACAGATTGAGACAGTGGAATGAAGGAGGGTGTGAATGTACTATGATTTGCGTCACCACTGTCAAACGGGTTCACAGAAATAACGTCATGAGAATGATTTATGAGGTGCAACTGCAACATGCTCTCACACGTTCCTGTGATTAACATTCATGCAAAATCTTTCACGCTTGTCTTTTACTTGTACATGTAGCTGTGTTCATATTTTGCCAAGAGTAAATAGGCCTACACTTCATGTAGCAGAGATGCCAGTCTTCAGGCTTTTGCCTGATTTCAGGCCCTGACAACTTCCTATTTCAGGCTTTTTATTGTACACCACATATGGGGATTAAACATGTTTTGGCTTCTTTTCAGGCCCAGTGAGTAAAACTGACTGGCATCCCTGATGTAGGATCTGCAGGCAAAACCATTTTACTCTTTAAAGGTTTCATTTCTTCTTCTTCTTCTTCTTCTTCTTCTTCTTCCTCCACTGTAGAAGTACATTTACTGTAGAAGGCCACCTTGGGGTCGGTGTGTCCTCATACTTTTATTTTTCAGCAGCTATATGTACAGTCACTACAGTAACATTTCTTCAACAACATTATACATGTTACATGTATACATTTTAGGTAAAGCCTCGGTCACAAATGCCATTACGAACTGCTACGAACGATTTTCAAACAATGGAAATTCAGGAAGACAATGGAAAACGGGAGATTTGTACGAAATAATCGTTTGTACGAACTTTTGTGACCGTACATGTAGCTTTAACTCTAAAGGGAATTAAGTGTATCTTGGCAATACAGAATTTGAAGATAAGGATTGATTTAATGTACATTTCATGTAATCCAAATCTCTAGTAACCAGAGCTCAACACTAAATTATTATTATTATTTATTTATTTATTTATTTATTTTATTTTTTTCGGGGGGGGGGGGGGGGTCTGGATTGAAAATGTTGGTCTAAATGCATTGAGCCCTAATAGAAATTTTGAAAATTGGGGGACCTAAGCTAGATTTGGGGTGCCCATATGTCCCGAGCATCTGCTATTGTGGATCCCTGAGTAAACCCCTCCCTAGTGTGTATGTAGCTATTGCAGACGGGCTTACAAAGATGTTAGATTGTACATGTACCAGGGAGTTAGGAGGAGCTGATTGTACGTAATGTAGTTATGAATGAAAAATGTAGCAATTGCTTTGTGTGTCTGAACCTGAACTTCTAACCTTTCAGACCAGCAAACTCCAAATTAGGCAGGAAAAATTAAGGGGGATATTTTATGGGGTATTTCTGGAATTTGGGATGTCCAGTGATTTAAATTTAATTAGCAACTTCCATCTGATTAGACCCTGTCCCGGTTTCTACCAAATTCAGATGCTATACAGTGGTATTTCTAACGTGTCAGTAAGGAAGGCATGTGATGGAGATCTCGTCTCCCCATGTATGGCATTGTCATCAAGTAAGAGGTCAAGGTAAATAGAGGTCACAGTGAAGAACCAGTAAAGTACACTGTCAAAATGTATGTGTAATTTCTTTGTTTTGGCAAAGATTTTAGCAGTTATTCCGTGTTCAATACATTTGTACATGTACGCCTAAATGTATGTACATTTCACACCCCACATGGCACAAGTAGAATACTGATTCATGTGATGGTTTGACTTTTAGTTGGGCCGTGTCGAAACTGTGATGAAATATTTATTTTGTCAACAAATACTTGACTCCACTAGTAATATAATTGTGGTCCCTCCTCCCCTCCACTTATAAAAATTAGAAGTGAGGCTGACATACCAAATATTAATAAATAAATTTGTACATGCACATGGACATGTCCATGTATACTGCATGTAACTATAAAATGTACTTTTTAGCAGGTTCATTTTTAAGCAAAATTCTAACAGTCAAAATCAATCAACAAACAACAACAAACAAACAAATAAATGAGGACGCCTAACAGATTAGAAAGTAGGGTATTAAAGAAACTATGTCCCTTTTGTAGCTAACCTCAAGTTCTGTAGAACTTTGCAGGAATTATGAATATGTCATGAATATCCTATCTGTGAAATTTAAACGTTAGCAGTGTCCTTATATTCAAATTATGCAAGGAAACCAGTTGACTTGCTAGACTTCACTGTCAGACACTATTGTCAGTATTGAGTGACTGACTGGCTCTTTCTTCTTCTTCTTTGGTAATAACATACATAAAATGAGCTGTAAACGATTTGTCTACTACAATAACCCACTTCTAAAGAGTTCTAAATTAGTATTATCTTTCAAATGCCATTGGAATTTAACCTTTTCATTTTTTGGGCCTGCAAAAGGGACATACATGTAGTACCTTTAAATGGTCTGTTTTTAGATTTTTTTTTTTTTTTTATTTAATAGGCCATGGACAGTT